CATCAAAAAACAACAATTTTAGAGAAAGAACGAATGTCGAGTTATTTGGCTTCTGTTCAACAAACACAAGGTCGAACTCATTACACATATAACTGTGAAGCAAAGTAGAGATGGAGGATTTCAAAATACAGAGTAATGATACGAGAGAGGTTCAAAAAGCATTTCCCGAGGAGCAAAGCTCTTAAGAAGAGGCACGTGTAATTACAGCAGCGGGCAGCTCGTTGCAAATGTGGGCGCACCTTGGCACCGTCAAAGGCTGGGAGGGGAATGGGCAAGAAAAAAAGCGGAATAATGGTGTTAGAATTATAAAAAAGATCTGTGAGAGAAGGAGTAAGGCCAGAGGAGGAACAGTACATGTAAGGATGTGGAAGAAGGAAACAAACAAAAGAAGAGGAGGGTTAGAAAGACCATGAGCAGGAATGGATGAGGCGAAGATGGAGGTCTGGTTGGCTGAGCCCCCCTACTCTCCCAACACTGATGCTCAGCAGTAGACTAATAGGCAGAGCGAGTCAATGGCTCTGTCTTTAGTCTCCCAGGCTGCCTGGAGGGGCTGTATTGATAATATCCCAGCCTGCTCAATCCGTCCCCCGGGGCGTTCAGCAGATCCTGCACGAAGAGTCCCCGGACGGTCTTTTGGCTCCACAGCTGCAGCTAGAGGAAGAGATCTGAACGCCATAGAAGGCAGGTACATGCACACAAACAGCCACTGCCCGAACGCCTTCCCCACACCTCATTTATTCTCATTTTGAGTCTCCCCTCTCACACTCTCTGCAGAGTGAGGGGCAGAGAAGATGTACGAGGAAGAGGAGAATGACAGCCTCATGCCGAGGATCGTCGTCCTCTCTTTTCTCCCATCAGAAGTGCTAATCAAGCCAGCGAAGGTGTGGACCACCGCTCACACCTGCCTGCTCCTCTCCATCTTGTTAGGGGCCATATAGGAGAAAAAGTGACTTCCCACTGCACTTCCACCACAGGGCTCGTTCCTTCACATTAATACCTTCACTGCTCGGCTCCATTTGTTACACACACTCAAGACACACACTCAGGGGGAGCCCAGGGCTGTGAATGATGGCCATATGCAGAAATGTGCTCATCTGTAACCCCCTGTGGGTGGAACAAAGCACAGTAGACTCCTTGAGTGTTGAAACCAAGGTGAACATTTTGAATTGGTGCAGTGCAGCGTGATCCAGCGGCTCTGCGGAGAGATACAGGGTCGACAGGTCCATAAAGGTTAGTGAAGTGGGTTAATAGGCAGAAGGTCACTGGTTTATATTTATGTGTGTGAGTGTGTTTAAATGTCTGGAAGGGAAGGTGAATGAGGAACCCGCTGCTCAGGTATGGAAGTGTGTTTATCTGGAAGAGTAAAGAGCATGCACACTCAGCATAACCCTCCCCCTGGTAAATAGAGGCAACCAGACGAACCCCAGCTTACCAATACATCTCCAAAAGAAGTGTAAGGACACTGATACACAATGATATCTGTATGTGTTTGGCCCTGAATCAAACCATGAAAAATCATCCTTTACAATACACGGGATGCAATGTGTTCTATAGTGTGCTGATTAATGTAGCCTTTTGTGCTCGTTGAAGAAAGCCTGAAGTGTGATAACCTCTGCATGATTATGATTAGACACATTACCTTGAATTAGCTGTGTGTGTGTGTGTGTGTGTGTGTGTGTGTGTGTGTGTGTGTGTGTGTGTGTGTGTGTGTGTGTGTGTGTGTGTGTGTGTGTGTGTGTGTGTGTGTGTGTGTGTGTGTGTGTGTGACGAAGGCTGTCACCTTGGTTCAATTAGTTGACGGTGGGGATGTCAAACATATTCCATCTAGCAACTTTCTCTTAAACTGCACCTTGTATGTTTGAATCACAGTTGAATTTAATAATGTATTACAAATCAGAAAAGAATAGAGCTGTTTAAATTATTTTCATTATTTATTAATTTTCTAATTTTGTCTATAAAATGTCAGAGCTCTAGAAAGCATATTCAACTTGTTTTTTTGTTGAAAGAAAATGGCAAAATAAAAATGTATTCATCTCTATATAATATATGACAAAGAAGAGCTTCAAATCCTCCCATTTGAGAAACTGGAGGCAGCAAATATTTTCTTATTTGATTGATATTGATTTGATTTAAAAATGACTGGAATCCATTACAATCTGCAGCTCATTCTCTAATAGGTACAAATCTGTCAGTCAGTGTCATTCATGGGCCCTGTTTTTTATCTCTGAACTAAATGATCAAATCTCCATGATAGAGGTTGAATTTAGCTGGAAAGTCCAAACGGGCTGTAATTAATATGACTTTTCATTGTTAGCTTATCTGCTTTAGTTTTAGTATGGAGTGTTCTTTTAATTATTTAGTATATCAATGATCAATGTTGACACTTTTAATTGTTGTCTTTGTTTAAACAGTACCCCTTTTATATGCATCCACTGTGGCAACCCTCACTGTTCTTATTTGAGAGAAGATGATGTTATTTTTTTCCATTTTTATTTGAAAAATGACTTAGACAACTCATTCAAATTGCTTCTTTATTAGTTTAGTGATGATTTACTAATGAATTAGTGTTTAGTTTTATACAACTGAATCCCCTAATTATGTTACTCTATGAGTATTTAAATAATCTACAACCACCATGTGAATTAAACAAATAAACAAACAAGCACAAATGAGATTTTAATAGTTTTACTCCCTGCCTGAACTGTCCAGCAGAATTAATTTTAGTTAAAGAGAAAATGAAATGCGTTTGCAGTAAATAACCCAAGCCAGTGGGACCGGCTGAGTGAAGACCATCCAGGCTTGTGTGTGTGTGTGTGTGTGTGTGCGTGTGTGTGTGTGTGTGTGTGTGTGTGTGTGTGTGTGTGTGTGTGTGTGTGTGTGTGTGTGTGTGTGTGTGTGTGTGTGTGTGTGTGTGTGTGTGTGTGTGTGTGTGTGTGTGTGTGTGTGTGTGTGTGTGTGTGTGTGTGTGTGTGTGTGTGTGTGTGTGTGTGTGTGTTGGTTTATGTGTCAGTTACATTCAGGACCCCTGCTGAGAGCAAAGATGTTGTCAACGAGGCTCCGCAGATAATGTATTGCAGCGGGTGTCATTGAATGTGTCCCTTTGAGAATACACATAAACACACAAACACACAAACACACAAATGTCAAGACACAGACAGGTGTGAGGCCCGGAAAACTAATAAAACACAGCAGTGAACATATGTGAGCATGCTACACACACACATACATTCATACAGCACGGTACATGCTGGCATTTCACACACAGTGGGTAGGAGAGATACATAATCCTGCACATACACACCTTTTTTATACACGGGCTGTACACAGGCAAAATGTGTCTGATAAGAAAGGTCATTTTTGTTATTTGAATGCACAAAAAACACCACAGGCTCCACTTTTAGAGCTTCACTAGAAAAGAAAAGGAGGCTCTGGACACCTCACTCAGCCAGTCATAATTACCGAACAAATCACACTGCTCTTTTCCCTCCATGTCATTTGAAATAGTGGATTAAGTGCACACAAAAAAGCTGCATTTTTTTTAAGGGTCGGCCATCATGTGTTTGCTGCGAGAGCTTGTGTGTGGGTGTGTGTATGTGTGTGTGTGTTTCCTTATCTCATCTGAACCATCCACCTCTCTCACACAGCTCCCGCTCGCTTTTATACTCGCCAAGCCGAGAGGTCGGCTCAGGGCCCTGAAATTGGGTCACCTGGGGTTGAAAAAAAAGTAAAAAGCTGGATTGTGGCTGCAGCGCTGCCTGGACCACGCTCAGGTGGAGGAGGGAAGCCATTGATGGCGACAAGGCTGAGGAGAGTGATGAGTGGAAAGGTCAGGACAGAACAGCGCAGCCCCGTTGCTGGGGGAGATATTTTTGGACAGCACGTCTGGGTCGCAGTGCCAGACTGTCAGCCTCCGCTCTCTTTGGTTACAGGGGCTGCGGCTATAGAAGAGGCCGGAGAGCCTCAAGGTCATGGCCTTGCACCTCTTCTGCTGACAGAAAGAGGGACGGAGAGAGGGATGGGGGGTGAAAAGGTCACAAGAAGCTGGACCCCATGCTGCTGTTCCAGGTCTAAATAAAACCCACTCTGTTCTTGTTGAGCAAAGGCGTGGGGGCTCACATGATCCTCCGTGCAGGGAGGCTTTCGGGGTCAAGATGAGAGTGTGTACACCCAGAAGCCCTTCCATTTTGGAGGCGAGTGACAGTTCAGGAGTGTCACCTGTCCGCTGAGGCCCCTCTGGTGTGAAATGTGATATCACCCAGAGGCTGACCCAGATAGCCTGAGAGCTCCTCGAGTAATAATATCATGTGGACAGGAAGTTGTATTACCATTGAATCAAGAGCAATTAAATTCAATGGTTCTAATTAGTTCCACTTGAGTTAGCTCAATTATTTGTTTATTATTTCCTACTTTCATTGATTCTCAGATAATTAATTGTTAATTAAACAGACTATCAGGTTGAAAGTGCTCCTTATTTTTTGTTAAAAAAAACTGTTGCTTATACACTGCAAATTTTTCAAAGAATATTAATAAATAATTTAAATTGATATAAATTGTATTGGCTAAATGTATTAGTCTAAAATTAGTTTTATATTCAAATTATAGGCAAAAGTGATGATCTCCATAATGTTTACAAAATTAGCCTCAATAGTCTTACGACATACTATAGCTTTCAGTGCAGAACAAATATTATTTTAAATCGAATCAATTCATGAGCTAAAACTGAAATGTCAAATGAAATCATGGATTTGGAGAATTTAGCACCATTACCAATGACCTTGAATGTGAGTCTGTGCTGCATTGATTTATCTCATGACCTTTAAAGCAGTTTTATGTTTTGATCACCACAACATACCCGTTTGAATTCCAGTAGGGACCGTTGTTGCATCATAAAAATAGAGAGAAACCAAGTTGTTAATTCGAAACTCTCTGCAGGTTAAAATTAATTTTTGGTTCAAATAATGTCTACTTGAAGAAAACAAATGACAAAAAGAGAAAATGCGTGTGTTTAAACTTTTTATTGCTATGTAAAATATCTCACCTTTAATGAAAAAAATACTTAATATCTTAACACAAATGAAATCAGGCAAAAAAAGACATTTGGCATTGTGATGTTCAGTGTATTGGGGGGGTTTGAGTAGATTTAGCGTAGCATTGCTGCTACACTTGTTAGTCAGGCTTAGAGAATGCACCGTGTGCTGAAACACTGCTGTCTTTAAATGTCTAGTATTATCAAAGGGGAGGGGGGGGGGGGGGGGTCGGGGGGTAGTACACAGAGCCAAGTAAACTACAAATCATATAACACTGCGTTTCTCCCTATTGACATTAAATACTGTACTTAACTGAGGTCCTACAGTAGTTTTATGATATATTAACATTAAATAAAACCCAACTGAACACATGAAGTAGATGTGTTATTATTGGCACATCCACAATCTCCCTGGCACTTGTACCTAGAGTGCGGTGAAAAAAAAAGGCTGCGGCTGCTTGTCCCTGGCAAATCACCGTGGTTACAGTACATAACATTTGGGCCTATTAGCCATTCAACGTGCCGCACAATCTGCAAGTGATGCAACAAATCCTTATTATCTTCTACACATCTGTACTCCAGACTACAAATCTAAAAGACTCTCCTTCTGAGTGAGGGGCGATACAAAGACATAATAATTAATAATGACAACACAAAACTTCAAGTATATTCCAAGCGCAGCTCTTCTAACCACTAAATCCGGGCGAGGGACTACATTCTAAACATGCAAACACTACTGAAATGTGCACCAACTTCTTCTTTCTGTAACATACTGCAAAGTGCATATTAGGAACTGGGTGCTCTCTTAACATTTGAGTTTGGCCCTTTGCGCTGTGGCCGCTGTCAGCTCTCTCTCTACGAGGCAAAGAGGCTTGGCTTTACTACATTGACATTCTTAACATTGCGTTGCTTTACAGTGCTGCCCTTAATATCACACAGGTAAAACATGAAGCGTTAGCATTCAGAAGCTACACAGTTCCCTGGGCACCACCTCCACTGTAATAACTGAAACATAAAGTGACTGTTGAAACATAAAGCCTCTGATATAAGTTATTAAATAAATAAAATTCTGACATAATATAACTAATTACAGCCAGCAAAAATAAGCTTTTTTATTTTTTTTAGATCCACTTTATCAAAAAAGGGATAGTTTTGTTTATCATTCCATATGCATTCTGCGTCACTGCATTCACTGCATTCATGGAATACCTTACAACATACATAATCCTTGCATTGTTTAGTAGTTGTAATCCTTTTCTTTTACAGTACCATGACTTGTAACTGTACATTGAGTAAGTATAATACAGCAATTACAATGAGATAAGGGGGAAACCCATTGTCTGATGTAACTGGGGTCGGGGGTGCGGGTGGTCTGCTGGTCTAGGTCTAAACTGAACGAGGCCCTTAAGAAATCCCAAATCATCCGGACTTTCTTTGTTGATCTTTCAAAGATTTAGGCCCAGGTTGTGGCGCCGGACTTGCTGAGATCAGAGTGGTTGGGTGAGAGTCAGGGGAGAGGGATTGAGGTCAAAAAGCGAGGTGTTGAAAGCCAGAGTTGCCATGGTGACTTCAGAAGTGGCCCATCCTGGCGGCGAAAAGGCTGCGTGAGCGTAGCCTGGCCGAGGAGATGCGGCCAAAGTTGGACGAAGGCCACTTCATGATGAACTGAGAGGTCACTGGCAGCAGATACCTGGACAGACGGGCAGAAACCAGGGATTGTGGGATTAAGGGAAAGGATGAAGATAATGAGAGGATCAGATATGCAAAGTTCATTATTTAGAGGTCAGGGCTCCTTGGTGTTTGGCACCACATATTGCACACCTTTCATATATTGATTCTACAGTTTTATGGCTGTCTTTGTTTGCACTTTTAAACTTTATAATGACCTGGTGATTTCAACATATTAAAACCTCACCCTCCCCTTGAAAATGGGAGAAAAAACTGAAAAAACCTGTGAGATACATATGATTTGGGGTTGTGTGGGGCTGCCTCTACAGCCAATTTAAGATTAAGATTTATTGTTTACCACACACACAGAGATTTGTCTTGTTTTGTCTGACCAACAGTCCAAAACCAAAATATATATTCACTGTAATACAATCTATGGTAAAGAAAAGCCTAAAATTCTCATATGAAGCTGAAAACAGCAATTCATCGTCTTTTTGGTTCGAAAGAATTATCAGTGATTATCATCAACCATTTTGACTACCCCATCATCACAATACTTGATATATATATATATATATATAACAATTGAATAATTGATCAATCATTACAGCTTTAATTGTATGGAATGTACCAAATCTAACATTCTATTTACACCGTACTCTCAGTTACAATCGTTCTTAATTAGGTTGTATGCATTATTGATGTACAGTATTTGCTTGTAGAATGATACATTATTGACCATATACAGGCAGAAGCAGATCTATTTTTTTCTTTCAGGACAACGGTATTTTTCAACCCTCGACCCTTTTTTAAAAAAAATCGTTGGTATCATGAACATAATATCCTCACCTATCATTCCGTGGTATAGGCTTCAGTATCTTTCTAAGACTTTTCTATGACACCTTCCACCGAGACAGAGCAGTGAGGCAGCTCCTGCTAACAGCGTTCCAGTACCTGAGAATGAGACCAGCGTCAGGTTGAGATGAGTGAGGAGGGGCTGAACCCTGCTCCCATGATCCTTAGCTACTGGAAATGAGTCAGATATGGTTGTCAGAGCAATGTCAGATGATATGATCAAATCCTGGACAAGGTTAACGGAAGGTTACGCAAATGTTGGGTTACTGTTCAGAAACATGAGACAAGGGAAAGTTCTTCCAGACTCATCAGTTGGAAGAGTGACTTACATTCTTTTGCGGCAGTCATATTGGGATGGCGTACATCAGGGCTATTCAATTGGCGGCCCGCGGGCCAAATCCAGCCCCCGGGTGATATTTACTGGCCCTTTGAGTATAATGTTAAAAAGTAAAAAAATTAAAGTTTAATTAAAAAAAAAATTCATTTAACATTTTTTTTGTTTTGAGCCAGAGTGCCTTTATTCCTGAGAGGGTGTTACATTGAGAGATAGAGGGGAAGACATTGCCTGAAAACTTTGGCGGGCTCGGGTTTCGAACCCACCTACTAGCAACTCCTGTCATTTATTGCGTCTCTGCGCGTCCTCGCGGCTCACGCTGCCTTTCACTACAAGCTCGTGCACCTTCGGCGGTTTCGTGCCAATGGTACGATTAATCAAACCTGGTCAGCATAGTTGGATATCAAAATGTCTCTTTCTACATTAAAAAAACGAAAGCTTGACACCAAAAACCGGCAATTCAACAGCGAGTGGAAAGAGAAGTAGCCTACTTGTGTGTAAATGTCAGTGGCCCGTGTGTTTAATCTGCAATGAGTGTTTATCGGTGTGTAAAGAGTACAACTTGAGAAGGCATTTTAAGACAGCTCACGCCAACTTTGACGCCACTTTTCCAGCGGGCTCTGATGCTCGCCGCCAGAAGATTTTGGGGCTAACTTCGTGCTATGACCAAAGACGTAGCTCCCTGTTTCGGGCTTGCACTGACCAAGAGAGAGCTTCCGCAGCGTCCCTACGAGTGGCCTGGATATTAGGCAAAAAGAAAAGGCCTTTTACGGATGCAGAGACAGTCAAAGAGTGTATGCTTGCATCAATTGAGGAAGTGGTTGCAGATGAGAAAATCTGAAAAAGCGTTATTGACTCAATTAAGAACATTCTGATTTCTGACACGTCAACATCAAGGAGAGTGGAGACCCTTGCATCGGACGTTTTTGAGATTCTCTTGGACAAACTGAGAAAGGCGGAGGTTATGTCGCTAGCTATTGATGAATCCACTGACAGCAGCGATGTTGCACAGCTGTGCCTCTATGTTAGATTTTTTTATGGTGAGTGCTTTCGGGAGGATCTACTTGGATTAATTCCTTTGGATGGACACACGACCGGTGAGGTGATGTTCCACAAAGTGGTTTCGTTTTTCAAGGGGCACAAGTTGGGATTGGATCGTATTAACATGCTTGTAACGGATGTCGGGCCGAACACGGGGACTGTCCGCTAGGCTGGCAGATGTGTCTCCACAGTTGAGATCGCTTCATTGCCTCATCCACCAAAGCCTCCTGTGCGCAAAACTGAGTGGTGAGTTAAAAAAACAATGGACTCTGTCATGGCGATTATTAACTTTATTCGTTGTAACTCCAGTTTACAGCACCGTCTTTTCCGCCAGATGTTGTCAGACATGTCAGCTCAATATAATGATTTGCTCATGCACAGTGACATTAGATGGCTAAGCAAAGGAAACGTCTTGAAACGATTTTGTGAACTTAAGGAGGAGATCATGGCGTTTCTCCGCAATTCAAAACATAAAAAAGCCAACGCCTTTCTGTGTCTGATAGAGAATAATGAGTTTTACGCTGCTGTTTGCTTTTTGAGCGACATTTTCCAACATCTGAACCAACTCAATTTGGAGCTGCAGGGCAGAGATAAAATGGTTACACAACTTGTGGAGAGACTCCATGCGTTTAAAAAAAAAAGCTCCCACTTTGTTTTGCGGATTTATGTCCCGGCAAAATGCTCCATTTTCCAACACTGCGCACTGCAGGTTTACAAATCACAGAGGTGATGACTGGATTTATGGACGCATTGAAAACCAACTTTGCCGCAAGGTTTGAACATTTCAGTCTCCCGACTGAAGTGATGAGATTTGTGAAGGACCCTTTCTCTGTGAATGTAGAGGGCGAGTTTGCACTGAAAGCAAAGGAGCTGATTATGACATTAAATGAGGCGTCTTTACAACTCAAACTCATTGACATTGAGTCATCAGATGACCTGCGACAGTCATTTCAGCTGGCAGGTTCTGAAAAGTTCTGGACTCATGAAGTCAGCCACGAGAAATTCCCTCATTCAAGGGGTCTTGCACTTTTTGTCCTCACAATGTTTGGCTCGACTTACACGTGCGAATCGGCATTCTCACAAATGAATGCCATACAAACTAATAATCGAGCACCCCTCACTGACCAGCATCTGCATCACTGTATGCGTATTGCCATGACAACGTATACTCCCGACTTCCCTGCTCTTGCTAAATCGAAAAAATGCCATTTCTCTCATTAGATGGCACATATCTGCCAAGTTGGTTGCATACAGTTATCACTATGTTAATCAAAAAAGGTTTGAGTTTTAAAAGGCTGTGTGTTGTGGTTTGGTAATTAAGACAAGTATTTTGATAATTGTTTTTGCTTTTAATTAAGCAATTGATGTGGTATGGCTCACTTGTCTTTATTGTTATTATACCATAATATGCACTTTTGTTTGTGTATGGCCCTAAATTGCTATTTTGTGTGAATTATTAGATAATCTAATGATGTTGATGGTTATATTAGCTTCACATGTACTGAGTTCTGAACTTGCCATTTATAAAGGCCTTGGGGCTATGTTTGATTTAATTAAACAAAATATATGCACTCCACTATGCTGTTCATTTCATTTCATTTCAAACCTTTATTTATGCAGGTGAATCCCATTGAGATCATTGATCTCTTTTTCAAGGGTGACCTGCTGTAGTATTTACTGTATCTGAAGCTCTTAATATGATTGCTCATATTTCAAGCCATTTTTTTCCCGGCCCCTTGCTTTGGATCATTTTCATCAACCGGCCCCCATTCCAAACTAATTGAATAGCCCTGGCGTACATTATGTGACCTTATTGCTGCAAATGCAGCACGGATCTTTAGCTAATAAAAAATAAATCTAATACTCCTTTAGTTAAATGAGTACAACGGACAAAATAAATAGTCCCTGTGGAAATGTTAAAGATGTGACAATCTAATCAAAAGGGAGCCACTGGGGCAAAGGATTACAGAATGAAGAAATAATATCTTCTTTTAAACTGGTGCAGAGATAGCATACTTTTCTCTGACAGCTCTCTCTCTCTCCTTGTGAAATAGCTCTTGAACAAATTAGCCGAGCAGTTTCTTCTAAAGTCGACCGGAAAGAGAAAAAAAAAAGCCCATGGGGCGTCCGCTTCCACACAGTCCCAGACTCAGGAGAGTTAGAAGGCCTTTAAATTAACTTAATTTAGTTCAACAAGAGTGTCCTTGAAGCAGCTTCAAGTGGGCCGTAGGAATCCCTCCAGCACATCTTCTTCTTCTCTGACTGGACTCGAACAAGGGCTCAGTCCGCCACTACTTCTTAAACTCTCACACTCAAACCCAAGAGAGCAGGTGAGCAGGATTGCTGTAAGCCATTTACAGTACTGATTCCATGATTATGTGTCACCTTTTGGATTAATTTCTTCTACATTTTTCATGTTTCCGTTCCCCACCATCTTTTTCCATGAGATTCCACGTGTTCATCCATTGGGATTCTGTTCATGGATTTGTGGTGTGATTTTTCCCCCTTTATTTCCATAAGGCCTTTACTAGAATAATACCAAGCCCAGGTATGGAAATGCCATTAAAAAAGATATTTAAAAAAAGAAAGAATATCAAATATTGAACATTCATCGAGGGCCCGAGTGTGTGTTCTTCAGAGATCCTCTGCTATTCACTTTGAGAATATTCTGCTCATAGATAGCATCACGTTGCTGGTAGTGGCGGGGGGTTGGGTAGGAGGGCTTCTCACGTCCAAGTGGCTGCTGTCTCTGCAGGCTATATTTAATTGGACTCTCATTCCGATATCTTCCAGGTCCGTCCTCCTTTTGATCATCAGAAGGTATTGGCAACAACGTGCATGCTTGAAAGCCAGAGGGAGGCTTGTTCATGCACTTGTGCTTTGCTTCAACCAATCAGTTGACAGGGAGACAGAAAGATGCTCTTTACATGCAAAGCTACAATCTACCACTGTTTGTACTGACAGGCCTTCCATGCCACCCCTGAGTGCTCCATCGATATGCAACTGCCACAGCAAATTAAGAGGAGGACGGACAGAAATAAATACCATGACTTAGGATGGAGAGCAGCTGACGCAATCGTACACCAAGAGGTACAAAGAGGCTTGAAGGTTATCTGCAACCCACATTCAGCTCAACACCCCAATTAACCCTAATTACTGCCGCACTTTTCAGACTGATGAAAGTTAATAGAATCTGAAACTTTTGTCATCATGGGAAAATTGTCTTTGGGCAGTGACAGTTTTTCCAGGCTTAACAAGAAAGTCATTAGAGTAGCTATTTGGCGACTTCCTCTCATCTGCCCACGCCTTCTGAAGGACTTTGCTAAGACTCATGGGGCTGTTGACACACCTGATCAGGGCACTCAGCAGAGGAAGGATGCTTGAACTAGACCGGGCAGGTGTGGTCAACAATGGAGACCCCGAAGACCCCGGCCTGCAGACCCACTTTGATGTGTGCCAAAGGCTGCCAAGAGCTCTGTGAGTGTATGTGTTACACGCGTGTGTGCATGCACAAGAGACGGCGTGGTGTGGGTATTCAGAAGCTACACTTATGTATGATTTATTATAGTATTTTATATTTGATTTCAGTAGTTACATTAACCAGAATTTGGAAGTTTGTCAAACAGGTCTTTCAGATATGACATTGTTTTTGAATTGTTTAACTGTAAACTGTAAGACATCAATGAAATCAGCCTTCAATAGATGAATAAATAGTTAACAGGTGTCATACGGGAGTGTCCACACAAATGCAGAAGAATGTAGAACATTTTGCTCTGTCAGTTGAGAAGTGTCTGGGTTTGGCTTGAATGTTTTTAACATGGCTGCCGGGTCAAATGCATTTAACAGCAAGACAGTGAACAAAAGGAGAGAAATTATCTTGTTTCATTTTTTACGAGCATTAGATTTGTTTGCTTAAACGGTGCCAAGTACGGGCAATTGGTTGAAGCTGGTCAAAGTTGATATAAATGAGTTTTGTTCCCTGAAGTGAATGTTTTATTTGCCCCTGCGCTCTCATGGAATGGAAAATGGGAGGTAAATATTCGCCAATGCATTTTTTAAGCATGTGTGATCGTGCTTAATGGTAGTGTTCTAAAAAAAGGCTGGTCCGTAGCTAGATATTTAGAATATATCACATTGCTTAGCATTTAAAACAAACCATCTCATTGGATGTTGGCCCTCCATCGCCAAGTTATTGAGTTCCAGCATTTATTCAATGGTGGCCTTACTAATGCTAGTGACAAAAAGGACAACATTAACAATCCTCTTTTAATGTTAGATACATGAACAAGTTCAGCTGTAGCTAATGCGAAGCTTCAGCAATCTGAAACCAGTGGGTGGCTTCCAAAGTTTTTAGTACTAAATTGCCTTATTTTGTGTTTCCCATGTCAATAGGAAATCATTAAGAATTATTGAAGGAAGGATGGACTGGAAATGTAAGGATGTGATCTCTTTAGAGCCACATTTTAGAGCATGTAAGTAGTGTTTCAAACATAACCTATGGTTTAAATGTACTTCTCAGTGAGATGTGGGCACAGTAATAAGGAGGGACGGATGAACAGCCACATGATGTGCATGCAGACGCACACCCTCTCATAGAAACTTATGCATCAATGAGAGAATAATCATAATTGCTTCTCATCCATCTGAAGTGGCGGCGGTTTGCGACTCTTCCCTGCATGCCTGATGGAGAGATGTGAACCGCTGGTGTTGTGAAACTGTAAAACACGTGATGCAAGCAGAGCCATTTTCTGTCTGACAAGAAGAGTGCGGTGCTTAGGTTGACACTGATGCGGTGCAGGTGAGGTGCTCAGTTCCCACTGAGGCCACTCGTTTTGAAAATTCACTCAGGGTAAGATGCTCTTGATAAAAGCGTTGAGTGAAAGGCATAGTTAAGCATGTGGAAGCAGGGTGATGGGCTGGTGATGTACAGCAAGCTGGCCGGATGGTTGCGCTATAGACAAACAGTGCTTCAAACAGTCTTCATATGCTTCCTTCTCCTATCTCTTTCCTTTCAAATCCATCATTTATTGTTTTGGGCATCAGGTGGTTTAATACACATCTGATCATCATGCTGTATAAGTCAATTAAAACTTGTGTATATTAGTGAGGGAAAAGGAGAGGAGGCCATGCTAGACTGTTGGTTGTGCAGCTAAAGCAACCATAATTGGGCAGGTGGGACCAAGCCTTGGTTACAGCTATGAGGTGGTGGGGGGAGCAGAAGAGAGCAGGGGACGGTGCTGGAGGATGGGGGGTTTAGCAGAACTAAACCAAGCAAGAGACCTGCGTTGAGGGGCGAAGAGACGGAGGAAGAAGCGGCAGCGACAGCAGCAGGTGTGGTGGAGCCATGGGTAGAGGCTGGTCCAGCAGCAAATGGTAAGCTTTTTTACAGACATATATAGACACAGAAAAAATAAGGAGAGACAGACCAATGCATGCTTTTTATGGACTCTAAAGGATACCTACTGCAAACATACTGATACACCAGAGTGTTAATTTGTGTGCCTGCGAGTTATACAATCCAATTAGTCCTCCCATATACCCCTGATTAATGTATCATCCTGAATCTATCCTCAAAACAAATATACCCATGATAAAACAATCAATAGCCACAATGCCAGATTAATCAAAACATAAGGAGCTTTACAATTGTACACAAACCCCACATGCTTTTTTCTTTTAACAGCTAAGGTTTTCATACTGTAGGCGCAAAGTGATAGCCTGTTTAAATATGCGTAAGAGTTATGAATCATGTAAAGCGAGGCCCGAGGAAAAAAAGAGCGCTCTCTTTTTCTCATAAGGTCATTTGCTACACAGGCTCATCTGGGCTCTAATTGAATTAAGCAGGCCTCGGGGGGCCTCGGGCTAACCTGAGCGCTAATCTGTGGGCCATTATTTCCTGTTAACGGCACACTCCCTCACTCCCCTCTCCTCGCCCTCCTCCCTCCCTGTCTGCCAGCCCAAAGCACATGTTCTTTAAAAGTTTGCTCACTCCAAACCTGAGCTGCTGTCTCCTGCGGGGACCAACCTTAAAAATAGAATGAGGCAGATTTTTTTTGTTTGTTTTATGGAGGTTATGTGATTAGGATGATGGCTCTAAGTCTCCATGGAGGGGAAAGGGGGAATGTTTTCTGAAAGAGGTTTCATGATGAAAGCGGTTGAAACCAAAGTGTTATGTCTTTGTGTCAAAGTGTCTTCTTTCAGTGCCTTCTAAAGGGAGTTTTACCAAAGTGTATTGAGACATCTATGTTACTTGTTATGCATTAACAAACTCGGCTTTAACCAGTTTCCTTCTGGACCAAAATATCAACGAGAAGAAGAGAACAAAATAAATATTCCCAACACCAAGGGCGTCTTCTGTTTATCTAACCCAGGTTCAGTATCCCGATGGGCTTATTTTCCTGCTCCTAATATGTGTTTGTTGTGATATTTCTGATACTTTTATGAACATTTGTGTAAACTAGAGCAAAATAAACTCCAAAACTGAAGACTTTTTAAGCAACAAGGTTAATGCCTTGAACAAAGACACAGCTTTAACCGGGGACCTACCAGTAAGATCTTGAATCCCATTGTGTCTCTGCAGCATATCCAGCCCCTCTACTGCATAATGAACTATATATTACAGCAAGAAAGATATAAGAATCTTTCAAAAAATAAGAGCTAAGTGGGAAGACATCAAAGGCTTGGGTGTCCTTCTCACCTGGTGTCGTCCCATTCGGGGCTGAGTCCGGTCAAAGAGCCGCGGGACTCTGAGACAAACTTGAAGACGACTACCAGGCAGTCTCTGCACAGCTGGACCAGCCGGCGGCAGCACTGCAGCTCCTGCGGGGACACCACCTCGCTGCTCTTACTGAAGACGCTCTCCCACGAAGAACTGGAGAGCAAAGAGGAAGAACATGCACAGAGAGGGACATTAAGTTCATAGTCAGAGTCTCTGTCACAATGTATTCACCAATATGAACAAAACCTATATCTCCAGTGGTTATTTTAGCAGCTTTTTGCGATTGAGTCGTGTTCTGTTGACTACAATTCAGTAACATTTAAATCATTTGCATCTTTCATAGCTTTAGTCTAATTGTAGCACATTAAACTCAAAACTGTTTGTCTTGTTATTTCAGCTGTCAGCTTTTTCTCAAATTTGATTCTTAATGTGTCAAAATGTACTTTTTTTGTCATCAATTTGTATTCAATTTTGTTGAGCCTAAACCAGCAATGTTGTCCTTTTAGTCAAACTTATTTAATATAAAATGTAATCCTATCATCATCTGACTACCCTATAAATAGGAATCAAGTCTGGAAGAAACACATGCCTGTCATTATTTTCATTAATGAAATAAACACTAATATGCATGATGCAGGCACACAGATTAAGTAACATCCATTCATATGTATGGAAACATGTTATCTAATGTGTGGCTTTTACTGTTCATGTATGTGTGCATGAAAATGTGCCCACACACAGACACACAGACACACAGAGACACACAGAGGAAGGATAAAAACAAATCCAAGTACAGTTAACCCCCTTTACAGCCCCGGACATACCCCTGACTGTGAGAGAGCTTCCACAACTGAGACACACAACCCCAGGGGGGACGTTTGATGTCTACCCCCTTTCTCTCCACGGGAGATGGGGGGGGGGGGGGGGGGGCGCTTCCTCTGAAAGGGCTCAAAACTGTGTGTGTTTCCATTCTCTTTCTCTAAGTCTTTTTCAAAGCCTGTTGAATTCATCGCCCACAATAGCTGCTAGGCCGTTTGATTGTTGTTAAGTCCCTTAGATAAAATATCAAACGAGACCTAGAGGAACAGGGGGGGCTGCACTCGGATTTGGAGCATGCTTTTGGAGGTGCACTGCTTCTCCGTCTCTGCGTGACATCGGGCCCCCCCTGTTGGTTTCATCCATGTTGGGGCCATGGCCTGTTGTAAGGAGGAGCCAGGACGAAAGGCTACCAAGCTAGCTGGATCATGGAGGCAGGCTGCAGTCAGACAAAAGCTGCATGGGGCGCATCATACTGGGGGTGGGGGGCGAGGCTAGGCTAGGCTAATCCACCCAGCCATCTACTACAACGCTACCATTTTGTTTTACTTCGTCTCATTTTCAATCAGTCGTCTCTCTGTCACCGGGTCACTTGACTTCTCTCATTCTGCTTATCCCCCCCTTCATCTCTGTCACCTGCTCACTGACTTCCTCTCTCTCCCTCAATTACGACTGACATGAAGTAAGGGAGGAGAACATGTAGAGCTGTGGGCTGCGACTTCAGTTACACCCTCTGAGCCCTCTGTGCCGAGGGAAACACGGTCACTGAACAACTGAACTGTAAAGAATATGGAGAGGAGGAGATGCAGGAAGGTCACACCTTCATCACAGACGAGACGAAAAGCTACCAGCACAGCAGCTGTCTGCATGACAGGGTTGCGTAGACAGGGAATTGTGTGTGAGTGTGTGTGTTTTGCTGCATGTGTGGCTCTGTTTAAGAGGGCTAATGCCTGTGCATGTGTGGAGGCTTCATACATCTTTTAGGGAAGCAAAATATGTGTTTTAAGAAGTGAATAACACATGCAAATAGTAGTTTACTGTGTGTGTTTTTGTGTGTGCGTGAGTGTGCCTCTGCCATTTCAGAGTTTATATAAGAACATGATCAAGTTGGCTCTCCCTGCAGTGACTCATCTTGTAGAAAGCCACTTACTGTTACATCAAAAAAGTAGGAAAAATAAATAAGAAGAAGCCAAATGAAAACTTCAAAGTATCTGATAACAAACCATAGTAAAAGAACTAAGAGGCCTGCGTTCACCTCCTTCCTGCTTCCACTCTTCCCATCTCCTTTTCTTGCTCTCACCTGTGAAAAAGCTCTGATTAACAGCCCAGATCTGTGACCTTAATTTGCACCCCGTCTCCACGGAGTAACATGTTTCTTTCATCCCCGAGAGCTTTCAGGAAGGTGCAGCGGGGTCTGGTCGGTCTGTCACTCATTCTCTGTCATTCAGATGCTGTTGCCTCCCTCGTCATACTGAATATAAATCCCTGCTGTCACTGAAAATGATATATTGAAAAACACTGGGCTTAAGGACATGGGGAGATTGCGTAGAGCGTGAACTTGAAGGTATGGAGATGAAAGAGCAGGGTTATATAATGAATAGCGTAGTAATTGGCCTGCAGTATGATCATTTGTATGTGAGCATTAAGAGGAGTTAGTGAATGAACATCAAGAGTGTTCTCAGTGATACTTTGACATTTTCAACATCGTCCGATTTTTCATGTTTGATCTTGGTTTAAGTCACCAATAGCAGTCATAATATCGACATATCTTGTATTTCTTCTCTCAATAAGGGCGGCCTATTCATACCACCTTGGATTGTGAACCTAGCCATTCCCCTCTCATCTCCTCCCAGTGTATAACTTGCTCATGCTGGCCTACCCAGTGTTGGAGAAGCAGTTCCACAGGCCCTGTCCGTGGCTCCACAGCAGCCGGTTGAAGACGCGGTTAAAGAGCCGGTAGAGGTGGAGACTGTCTACGTCAGGCTCCCTCCAGATCCGCTGCAGCGCTGAGCGGACATTGGTACGGACAATATCCAAGACCTGAGAGAGACAGAGATAGTGAGATGTGGGAGAGGAAATGAGAGAAAAAGAACGCTTGAAATCAAGCATGCGATAATGAAGGAAATGAATGCTGCGACACAAAAGGTGACAGCATTTCTATTTGATATGCGTGAGTTGGCATTTGCTCCAACCGTAAGATTTTTCGTTTAAAATGAGCAATCACAGAGGCTAATGCATTCACTCAGTAACAGAGAGCAAAGGTGCATTAATGAATAAACAAGCGCACACACTTCACACCAACACATATAGTATTTTATGCACATAATGTTTTCCCTGAACACATCCTGAAACTACACTGAACAAAAATATAAATGCAACACTTTTGTTTTTGCTCCCATTTTTCATGAGATGAACTCAAAGATCTAAAACATTTTCTATATACACAAAATAACCATTTCTCTCAAATATTGTTCATAAATCTGAAATAATCTGTGATAGTGAGCACTTCTCCTTTGCCGAGATAATCCATCCCACCTCACAGGTGTGGCATATCAAGATGCTGATTAGACAGCATGATTATTGCACAGGTGTGCCTTAGGCTGGCCACAATAAAAGGCCACTCTAAAATGTTCAGTTTTATCACACAGCACAATGCCACAGATGTCGCAAGTTTTGAGGGAGCGTGCAATTGGCATGCTGACAGCAGGAATGTCCACCAGAGCTGTTGCCCGTGAATTGAATGTTCATTTCTCTACCATAAGCCGTCTCCAAGGGCGTTTCAGAGAATTTGGCAGTACATCCAACCGGCCTCACAACCACAGACCACGTGTAACCACACCAGCCCAGGACCTCCACATCCAGCATGTTCACCTCCAAGATCGTCTGAGACCAGCCACTCGGACAGCTGCTGCAACAATCGGTTTGCATAACCAAAGAATTTCTGCACAAACTGTCCAAAACCGTCTCAGGGAAGCTCATTACATTACATTACATTACATTGCATTTAGCTGACGCTTTTATCCAAAGCGACTTACAATAAGTACATTCGACCAGGAAGACACAACCTTGAAGAAAACAGAATCATATAAGTACATCAGGTTTCATAGAGCCAAACATTTCAAGTGCTACTCAACTGGCTCATCTGCATGCTCGTCGTCCTCATCGGGGTCTCGACCTGACTCCGGTTCGTCGTCGTAGCCGACTTGAGTGGGCAAATGCTCACATTCGATGGCGTCTGGCACGTTGGAGAGGTGTTCTCTTCACGGATGAATCCCGGTTTTCACTGTTCAGGGCAGATGGCAGACAGCGTGTGTGGCATCGTGTGGGTGAGCGGTTTTCTGATGTCAATGTTGTGAATCGAGTGGCCCATGGTGGTGGTGGGGTTATGGTATGGGCAGGCGTACAGTATGTTATGGACGACGAACACAGGTGCATTTTATTGATGGCATTGTGAATGCACAGAGATACCGTGACGAGATCCTGAGGCCCATTGTTGTGCCATTCATCCACGACCATCACCTCATGCACGGGCCCATGTTGCAAGGATCTGTACACAATTCCTGGAGGCTGAAAACATCCCAGTTCTTGCATGGCCAGCATACTCACCGGACATGTCACCCATTGAGCATGTTTGGGATGCCCTGGATCGGCGTATACGACAGCGTGTTCCAGTTCCTGCCAATATCCAGCAACTTCGCACAGCCATTGAAGAGGAGTGGACCAACATTCCACAGGCCACAATCAAAACCTGATCAACTCTATGCGAAGGAGATGTGTTGCACTGCGTGAGGCAAATGGTGGTCACACCAGATACTGACTGGTTTTCGGACCCCCCCAGACCCCCCCCAATAAAGCAAAAATGCATGTTTCAGAGTGGCCTTTTATTGTGGCCAGCCTAAGGCACACCTGTGCAATAATCATGCTGTCTAATCAGCATCTTGATATGCCACACCTGTGAGGTGGGATGGATTATCTCGGCAAAGGAGAAGTGCTCACTATCACAGATCTTTTCAGATTTGTGAACAATGAGAGAAATGGTTATTTTGTGTATATAGAAAATGTTTTAGATCTTTGAGTTCATCTCATGAAAAATGGGAGCAAAAACAAAAGTGTTGCATTTATATTTGTGTTCAGTGTAGTTTAATCAGACCTTATGTAGGGAGGAGTTGAGGAGGTTTATCCTGCTCAACTCCTCACTACATGTCTAAAGCATGCTCAGACATGTGTGTTAGAGTGTGTGTGGTAGAAGCAAGACAAAAAGTGCTGTGGCAGACAGTGGAGAGGACTAATTGCTGCAGCGACGTCAGTCTTGGAGAGAAGGTGTCAGAAGTTCCCCAGCGGTCTGAGGACACCTGCGCCAGTCTTCCATCTTCCCTCCTTCCTTTTCCCCCATCCCTACCCTCCTCACTGCCTTCTCTTCCTCCCTTTTCCTTCTCTTTTCACCCAGCTCAGAGTGCAGCGCTGTGGCTCTTTTGACTTTGATTCCTCGCTCCTCATTACTGACGTGCCCGTCTCACTATGTGTGCGTGCATGTGTTTGCGATGCGGAGAGGCGAGGTTTCCCTGCAGCAATATGAGGCGAGCGAGTCACAAGCATACACACTCAAGACAAACTGATAGATGAGTAAACACACACACGGATATGTTTTGGTATGGTAATCAGATGGCAGAGCGGTGGGCGCTGCATTCCTGACCTCTGCCTGCTGCTCATTAGGCTGCTCCACTCCAAATAAAACATCGGCTCGCAGCGCCACAGCACAGGGGTGCAGAAAGCAGTGGCTGAGAGATCATATCATTACTGACACGCCCACCGGATGCCTTTTCACGTCTTGCCCCGTCTTCTGTTTTGTTTACATCGTTTTTGGTGTCTCTCTCCCTGTCACTGTCTGACATGATAATGATCTTCATGCTTGTCTTTTTTTTCCCTTTGTCTGAAGTTTGATTCGCGGATTATTTTCCTATTTTAAAAGTTCTTCAAAAGCATTCAAAGGAATAGGTAGGAGCTGTGACATTTTGTCATTTCACCGGGTTTTAACAATGTCCATTCCATACAGAGTGACAGTAAGTATAGACTGGGTGGGAGCAAGGACGAAGGCGGCGGACTTATACAGGTGTCAAAAGATGAATGTGGCCCATTGTTTAGACTATAAGACGTATCAATAAATGAAGCATGATTTCTGAATCTACCTGATAATTGCTAATAGTTATTGTCTTCTCTTCTCATCAATTGTCTGTCTTTGTCCATTGGGGTCAGCCTAGGAAGCAGTGACCCCTTTTCTAGCTTCTAGCAAAAATGTTATACAAAGGTTGAATACAATTGTGTCGCGTTGAGCGTATCTTGAAGTTGTTCAGGATTCTGAAGTATTCTGCTGAGCATCTATAGCTAATAAAGACCTGGGCCTCATTTATAACGCCGTGCGTAGGATTCATGTGGGAAGGTTTCTTACGTAGTAGAAATCCAAAAAATAGGTACAGACATTTTCCGATTCACCAAACATTGCGAACCGGCGAGGAAAGTGCGTACGGCACTTCCTACGCCGGTTTCCCTTTATAAATCACAATCGACTCGAAATGCGGTGCAGCTTTTGCAGGCTTCACGTAACGCCCATATTTGCCTATAAATAGTCAAAGAAATGCCCATTCATTCATTTTGACTGACTTTATGAAGAAGATCGCAGGAAATGACGACAGAACAGCTACAAAAGACATCTCACACCGTGTCAGATTTTGGTTATTTTGGGGAGGTCGAGATAAATCATATTGTTTGGTGGATGTCGTTTGAACCAGAGTAGCAGCATGGAGGTCGGATCGTCACCAAAAGAAAGAAATAAGTGGTCCGAAAAAGGTTAATGACAAAAAAAATACACATATCCTAACCTTCCTCAGGCAGTGTGTTTGTACCAGGGACAGGAGACACCCCCTTGATGAGAAACTGTAAGAAATGATCGGGGAATCTCTCCGGAGTCATAACGACTGGATCTGAATTATTATGGTGTTCTTAGTTTCCATACCTCCTGTGTTTTACGAGCGACTTCTCAAGTCTTGGCAAACGGCATAAAACACGATTAAACGTGATAGTATATAAAACCATGCTCGTATCTACAACCTATAGAAATGCAAAACGGCGTCAGTTTAGACGTAATTCTGTCCTTCTGCTTACCGCATCATTTATGAGAAAACATTTAATAACATTAACACAACATATTCGAGGTGGTTTTCAATAACATATCCGTATTTATTTATTTCTCCAAGTTATGTTTTTGTGTGCACTGAGGAGTCTCAAACAGGCGTTTGTTTAATCATTTTAAGATTGGCTTTAATCAATTTGTGAAAATGAATTCTTCATATATGATAAATGAGAGGTAACATTTTATTTATGGTATTATTTCCACATATTTCTCTCCATTCTTCCTTCTGCCAATGGTGTCGCAGTTTCTCGTCTCTCCTGTTTTTGTGCTTAGTGCGCTACGCATGGGTTAGAGTTTGCGTGGAGGACCGCACATTTTCCCGTCAGTTAGTATTTTATAAATCGCAAACATTGCGTAGAAACTGGCGTACGCCATTTTTTGAGCGTATATCCCTTTATAAATGAGGCCCCTGAAGCGAGAAATATCTTCCAATTCTCTGGAAAGGCAAAGGAATCTTTAGATGTGATTAAGGCATAGGACTAACCTTTCGTTGTTTAGTAGAGTCCAGCTTTACCAGCCAATAGGAAGCCACCTTTGACTTATGGTATTTCCAGTTGTCGTGCATCTATGGAAGAAAAGTTGGTCAAAGTCAAAAACGTATCCTGGCTTTAAACATGCATACAATTTGTTTTAAAGTAATAGTTAAGAAGAAGGACAGTAAAGCAACACATTTAAAAAAAAATTGGGATTTTTAAGGTATCATTTTAGCAAAAACAGATATTGCGTGCGCCACTGTCTTTTTTGCTCTAAAACCCAGGGTTACTACAGTAAATCATCCAGCGAGGAAAACACCTGCCAAGATGGAGCCCAGTTTTTCTTTTAGTGTGTGATCAGGAATGTACAAAGACTGGAGCTCATTCCCACCATCACACATTCCTCCTGGCAGACCTTCTTTCACACTTCGGCCCAGACACGGGATCACTGCCGGGTTTTTAGCTTCTGTCTAGTAATATTTTTTTGGTTTTCACACATAGATATCCATTATAGAAAAGTTCCAGGTTCAAACATGACAGTACCATTATGGACAGCGCTGCAATGCTTGTGTGATATTCTGAATCTTGCACATGATACTAGGTAACACAGGAAATATAATGCAAGAGGGGAGAGATTGTTTACAGCACATATTAACGGTGTGTTGTTAGAGAGTCAGCTTCAAGTCAGTTTGACAAAACAATTGTCAATTCTATCTTCTCTTCAGAGTCAAGTCTCCTGCTTCACAAAAAACTCCATAGGTAAGGAGGACTTTTAAATGTTAAGTTGTTCATGCTTTTACTGGAACAAGACTACTTTTCTTTACTTCAAAACCTGTTAAAAAATGCAATATGTATTTAGCTTAAAGTAAGTGGCCTGCCAAATAGATTTTTTTAATAAATAAAAACAATTTAAGTATTTACAAGATGCATTGCTTTTCTGTAGAAGACTATTGCGGTACTTTTTTGTATCACAACACAGGGATAATAGAATAATTGAGTCGTAATCAATGTTTTGCGGGTGTGTCAAAAATCCTTGGGTTATGTGTCATTATGCTCAAAAGCTGCGCTGGATATTCCCTTGCACTTGCTCCTGGTGCCAACATCACTGTGTACCTACAGGCACTGTTATTGTTGCTCTGTTGACTAAGTCTACATATCCCCACTGGTGCACATAAACCTCTCACATATCACGTGGATCCCCTGCAAACAGTGCTCCCATTGGGAGGCTCCAGTGTAAACTTTATGTTTACTCACACACACAAACAGTGACGCATGCACAACACTCCGCAAGGATTCACAGATGCAGATCTAGGTATACAGTAAACACTTTTGTGTTCGCTTTCCAAGAAGTTTGTTGTTTCATGTTCTCTCTTACCTTATGAACCTTATGAACCATCTGGTCCGATGTACACCAATTTGTCCCATTTGTTTTTGACATACATAAATTAGCCACAGTAAAGCAAAACAAAACCCACCTCATACATTTCACCTGCCGATGGTGTTGAGTGAAAGATAAAGGAGCAAATTAATCCAATAAAAACATATAATTAGCCCAATTACACCTCCATTTTAAGAGGGAAACATAAATTGCCAAAGATTGTTTTCCTGCCAGGTGAGCACTCTTTGTTTCTCATGACGCAAAACCTGTATAGTACAGGTGCAGTTGCTCATCTGCGTTTCCATGGTGCTCTCATTAGGGTTTGTTAACAGTACAGATGTGCTGATAATTGTCTCCAATGATCTCAACACATCCAGATGTCACACACACAAACAGATTTTGCTGTTCTTGTGATGGGAATGTATGGGCTCACATTAATTACATGGGGGCTTGCCCTTACCTAACCGAAATCATTACAACCACATGCTTTCCCTTAACCCTTAAATGATCTTACAGATGCCTGATTTGTATTATGTATTGTATTGTCCCCTGTTGTGGCATTAGGTTAGGTTAGGTTGCCATATTACTATTATTATTATTATTATTATTATTTATGTTTAAAAGGTTGCAATGGTTCAGTGCTATACATTTCACATAATAAGAATGTAAAAGCTGAACCATAAACATTAATAATGCAAAGCATCAGTCATATCGCTGCTCTTAAAAAAAGAAAACATGCATAGGATTCATTGCACAGGATTCATTGCACATACTGTAGATAAACGCAGGATTTCCACTTGGCCTATATTTATTGGATTGTTTCCATGGTAGAGAAGGACCACTGACCTTACACCAGTATAACATCTCTACAAAAACTGTAAATCTTTTTGACAAAACAACATCTAAATTAAACTATGAAATCAACATGCAACGTTGTTGACTAAAAAACACCTTTTAAAAATGTAGTAAAAAATATTAAATCTTTAAAAAACGAAATTCTTGTCTCCATCTTCTTAACTTTGGCCTGAATGTGACAATAAACTGAAACAACAGCTTTTGTTTTACTCCTGTATGGTTCTCATGTAGCCAACTAAGGAACTCTTTGTCCTTTGACCGTGTTGTTGTGGTGGTCTTTCTGTCATTAGTCAGCGGTGAAGACAGTCTGACCGGCTGCTGTCCTTTCAGCACCGTGGGACTGTGGTGCTGAAAGAACAGCTGGTTCTGAGGACAGTGACGGCCGTAAATGAGGTCAGAGTGGACCGGACAGACGCTTCAATTGTCGGCTAATTTTCTCACGCTGCGCTGTTGCTCCCGGTGTGAGTCAAAGGTGAGCCCCTGTCAATGTGTGGATTTCCGACTTATTTATTGCTTTGACAAAATGCGATATCCATTTCCTTTTTTTACATTTTTCATAAACAAAAATGCATAACTTCAGGTAATTTATATATTAAGCTTAAACTGTGTATGGATCGTCATAAAGAAACACATAGTTATGGTAATTGGAGGTATAGCTACTAATAGTACTTAGTTAACTAATAGGTGCTCTGGAATTCTTGGGCAAACTGTTATAATAGTATATACTTAATAAACATCATATACATCCATTAACCTGGGATTTTACTGTCCACTTAAACAGTTTTTCTAATTACTTTAGATGCGCATCTTTACAAAACGTAGATTTAAGCAATGGCTTGAGCATTAGCACAAACACACAATTACAAAGACTGGTTCAGATGGAAGGACACAGAGATCTGAGCAGAAATAGAGGATGCACTGATGAATACAAAGGAGCAGTGGGGAATAGCACGGGGCTCCAAACTGACCGACAAGTTGTCACTGGGGTCGTTTGAAAGACAATGGGAGCCAAGCCAGAGCGGCAGGCTATTGTAGAGGGAGGCAAGGAGGTCACTTTTAGTTAGACTGCAGAGTGACCGCACCTGGCCGCCGAGGGGGCTTTGGGAATACAGTGGGTCCAGATTTCTGTTCACCGCTTGTACTCCATGTTCACTCCCACTCTATCTGTCCTTGTTAAGTTCAGTCTTACTTTACTTTGTTCCATTTTCACACCCTGTTACTGCCTCTGAATCATTTTGGATACACTGAAAAATGTAGATTATCATATTGTATAAGGTACTGAACACAGAAATAAATTATAAATAGTGCACACACCTCATCCAGCACAGCCTCAGCCTCCTCCTCGGTTTTTCCCGGAAACCTGATCCTCATGGCGGTGAGCGCGGCCAGAGTCTGACGCACCAGCTCGTCCTCCTGCTCTTTACTCCTCAGGTTTATCAGCGGATCGCCCTATACAAACACACACACACACACACACACACACACACACACACACACACACACACACACACACACACACACACACACACACACACACACACACACACACACAGGTACAGAGAAACCAATTCAGTGTACTGACACACATTAATATTAAGCAAAAAGTCTCATTACAAAATATAGTATCACACCTACTGTATCCAAACGGACTGTTTAATACATCATGTTATTAACAGAAAATACATTTTAAATGTAACATTGAATCAATCCCAATTGACGCAGAGGGCTCTTCCAAATCACCAAGGCACAACAGATTATAAAGTTGAATTCACATATTGTTTACACTATAAAACAATGTTAGCAGGGTGTGATGCTTTATTACTGTATAATAACTATTAGCCAATATTATTAGTGATCAGGCGTCATCGACAGACATTTTTGCCCTCTTAAATATATTATCCTCCTACCACCTCCTATAGTCCCAACTCATTATGTCTTCTACAAGCAGTTGGCTCAGAGTGGTATCAGGAACACGCTTTGTTTAAAAATAACCTCATCATAAAATGAGTTTTCCTTCTATAGCACTTGCTCACTGGTGAACGTATATCCAATTTCAGATGTCCTGTACCAGTATGTCCTTATCCCCAGGGGTGTGATTCCCATAGAGAAGTCAGTAAAACAATGTTTAAGAAAGTTCTCCTGTCATTTTGTTTACAAGTGTGTCAGGATACAAACGTACAACCAACATTCTTGACTTTCTCAGTACAAAGGTTTTCCAAGTATTTATATTCTTAATGTTAAAGAAGGTTTTCTGCTCCGTGTTATTTTGTTCCACTTGACCAAAGGTTAGCAGAGTGCTTGTATAGAAGGAGGGTGAATGGAGGAGGCAGGCGGAAAGCAACATGATAGAATAATACAGTACGCCTATACAGTATTGAAGGAGCTGCTTAACAGGTTCCTACTGGGCCAGGCTACAATGTATGCAACAAGAGGGAAAAAGCAACAATGGTGAATGTGTGTGGATTCGGGGAGTAACTCTTGATTGTTTCTTTCAAACTATTTGGAGTAGTGGATCAGTTGAGGATTGCCTCCTTGAAAAATGTGACAGTTTGAATCTTTCAAAAATGAATTCTTACTTTTCTGTGACTGACAACTTATCTGACACGTTCTGAATTGTAAAGATTTCTTTGTGTGTCGCGTTTCTTACGATGTTGGAGTGGATGGTCCCCAGGCTGTTGCTGTGAGGGACACGGTGGGCGGAGCCACTGCGGCTCAGTGAATGAGAGCGCAGCGTGGCGGAGCTCGGCCTGACGAGGGGCGTGGCCACGGGAACTGTGGGAGAAGGCCTGGAGGACAACGACCGCACCTCATTGGGCGACGAGAGGGAGGCGATGGATCGAGGGCAGGAGATTGAGCGCCTGATTGGTCCAGAAAGTGTTGGGGAAGCTGAGGGGGCGGGGCTGGTTTTGTGTGACTTGATTGGAGGTTTCCAGTGCATGCGACCTGCAGAGAAACAGAAGTGTAGGGGAGGGAGGGGGGAGAAACACTGAATCACTGCCACACTTCAAATTATTTTCTTCCCTGATCCTGTCTCAATGTCACTGTCAAGCTCTCCTCTCTGTTTTCCATCCGTTGCCTGGTGGCTTTGGAGATGAAGTGTGGCTTTAAGACTCCCATTGCAGCGCTCTGGCACACTGGCCCAGTGGCGTGTTTTTTTGTGTGGGTGTGTGTTATTAAGGACCACAGCATATGTAGTCAAAACCAGAAACTAAACTGTAGTTCTGTCTGGTTTGGGGATGGATTAAAGAGCAGCTCTCTCTCAGACAAACACATGAACACACGCAAATGCACACACGCAAATGCACACACTCACTCAAACACACAAACACACAAGAAATAAAGCTACAAATCTGCACTAGCACTCTCCGTTTCCCTTGAAATTGCCAACCAGCATATTAAAGTGTGTTTCCGGGCAGTGTGTGTGCGTGTCTAACATCAAGTGCGCAGACAAGTGATTATACTTGTGTGTGTGAGTGAGTGTGCGTGCATGGCTGCTGAACCTTCTGAGGTTTGGATATTTTTTGCCAAATGAGAGCATTATGGGGCTTAATCCTTTGTCCGAGCAGCCCTTTGGTGGCTTGGTATGGAGTAGGGCTTGGCAGAGATGCCATTTCCTCTATGCACACACACACGCACACACACACGCACACACACACACACACACACACACACACACACACACACACACACACACACACAAAACTTAGGTTTTTCAATGGCTTTGTCCCTTAGACCAATAGAATGAGCTCATGCAAGGGTATGTTCTATTGAGCAGTATAACTGTCGGCCCACAATGCAACTGAAGATTTTTTTCTTTCCAAGGTCGCCATATAAGGCTTCTGTGAAAGGTACCCTGTCTCTCACTTCAGAGAGGCAAACGTGAGTTGATGTTTGTGAGCTATACGAATTGGTGTGAATGTGTAAGACTTATCCCTCTCACTATAAAACTAGGAATAGTTCAGCATTAAACTCAAGGAGATCTCAAGGTTAACAATATAAGGCGTCTTTTTTCCTTTTTTTCTCCTTTTCCCTTTGAATCAAATTCCTCTTCTCTGGCGTCAACCTTCATTAATTGGAAATAAACTGTTCAGGGCACCTTTCTTTACTCAAGTGCTTTTCAATGCTTCAACGTGTGTGTGTGTGTGTGTGTGTGTGTGTGTGTGTGTGGTGTGTGCTGTGTGGTGTGGTGTGTGTGTGTGTGTGTGTGGTGTGTGTGTGTGTTGTGGTGTGTGTGTGTGTGTGTGTGTGTGTGTGTGTGTGTTGTGTGGTGCTGTGTGTGGTGTGTGTGTGTGTGTGTGTGTCTGTGTGTGTGTGTGTTGTGTGTGTGTGTGTGTGTGTGTGTGTGTGTGTTGTGTGTGTGTGTGTGTGGTGTGTGTGTGTGTGTGTGTGTGTGTGTGTGTGTGTGTGTGTGTGTGTGTGTGTGTGTGTGTGTGTGTGTGTGTGTGTGTGTGTGTGTGTGTGTGTGTGTGTGTGTGTGCTTTGTCCAGTGTGAAGCTAGAAACCCAGTTTACATAGATACTCAGCAACAAAGCGCCACTTATAATGAGTTGCAGACTGTGATCACCCTTTTTACTTTAAATCCAAGGACCTTTTAACATTGTATCACAACAATCAGGCACATATACTGGCAGGCTGATGAAGATCTGTAATGTGCCACCTGCTGGCTCCTCCATCTCAACCTTCAGCTTGCTGCACTTTAGGTACTGATCAAAGCAAAACTCTGCATTTGTATTTTGAAAAAGTTTCCATGTAAAAGTGGACTGTACAACTATGAATATATTTCAAACTGTAATAGTTAAAAGGGTCCAAGGGAAGGGTGTCGTGTGCTTGTAGCATCACAGGATCAATTGAAATGTCCCTGTAGCATCATTATATGTGTTAACATATATCTCACGTCTGCACTTTGTTCTGTTGGAGTCAGAGAAGATGGAAAATGGAGACAAACTTAAAAATGTGAATTTGTGTGAGCAAATTTGCACATCTGAAAAAAAGTTTGTTTTGAAATTAAGCTATCCGCTGTAATCAGATGGAAGATTTCCAAAATGAAATCAACAAACAGGGCAGGAAACAGAAGGAAAGCAGAAAGACGCGCAAGCAAGCAAGCAAAAAAACAAACAAAGCAAACAAGAAGGATTGCAGGAAACGAGGTCTCTGTCAAATCCCCACAGTCTGGCTTCCTAATGAAGACATCGTCAGACACTTTTGTACTTCCTGCTGGTTTACCTGAGCGCTCAGACAAGTTCTTCTCCTTGCTCTCCCCGAGGTCATAGGAAACTTTCTTCTCCCTCTTCTCTCCTCCTCCTGCTTTCCTCCTCTCCTCCTCTTCTTCGTCTGAGGAGGAGCAGGAGTTATCGCCACTGCTGCCACTGGTGAAGTCAGCCAGGTAGTCCGGCCGCTGACGCCTGGGAGTCTGACTGCTCTCTGGCATGGCTGTCATTGGCTGGCAGAAACAAACAAATATACACACAGACATGATATAAGATGTACACATAGATCCATTTAGTTGGGTAATGTGAGCATCCATACACAGATTAAACAGACATGATCATACACAAATGCTGTTTTTCTCCCTCCCATCCTCTGTATCTCACACACACACACACACACACACACACACACACACACACACACACACACACACACATATCCTTCTAGGGTTTTCACTGACTGAATTCACTTCATTTCCCAACACCATCCTAAATGTTTGTAAATCCTCAAAGTTTTTAAACTCAAAAAGCATCTCACAAGGACGTTCGAACACAACACACACACACATACAGAAAGACATTAAGATGTTGTCAGCCTCTCCTCACCCCCCAGCCCACCACCATCTGTCACTGGGAGACCCACTGGTGACACGGCTAGCCCACGTCTATGTTTGTTTGCAGGCTCATTATGCACAGATACATAAAAACACACAGAAGCCTGGCTACAACCCTGAACAGGAACACAAGTGGCATAGTAACCCTTAACAAATTTGACCTGAGTCATTGACATTCAAAGTCTGTATTACATGTTTTACATATCTGTGTCAACCAATGAACTGTAAATGCAACTGTGAGGCAGCTTTTATTTGGAAAATGTTATTTTTAATATGCAATTTTGATAATAACCAGACATTTTAATCTCAGCTAAGTAAACGTGTCTGTGTATATCCTGACCTCCTTCAGCCATAAAACACAGGGACATTTAGTAAGGAGTTCATTAAGCTGAGTGTCTATTTCACATCCTGGAAGGGGACACACTGATAGGATTAATAAGCCATGTATACATCTGTTATTCAACGGTTAGCTAGGGCAGGGCTGTCAGGCCACCTAAATGAATGGGCAGGAAGTGATCACAGGGCTTACACAGTCACCGCTGGGTAGCTGTGAGTGTGAGAGGATGATAGAGACAGAGAGAGATTAAACACATTAGAAGGGTATAAAGGCGAAGATGGGAACAGCAGATTGATGGGGAGAGAAATAAAGAGGAGGACGAGTTAAATCTGACAGATTCAACAGAGAGGAGGCATTGAATAGCAGGGAGAACGGAAATGAGCACAGAGGGAGAAAAAAGAACACTGAACATCGGAGTGGGGAGAGAAAAGGAGACGGGAACAGACAGCGGATGAACAGTGGAGAGCAAAGACAAAGAGAGAGGCAGACACCGAGCAGATGAGGAGAAAGAAAGAGAAATGTAGGATGAATGAGTGAGAGGGTAAATCAAGCTCAACGGTGAGCAGGGGAGGAAGAGGGGGGGGGGGGGGAGGCCAATACCAAGGGCAACAAATGTGATGAGGTACAAATCATAATTACAGAGGTGGACAGTTAGAAAGACGATTTACTTGAGAAATGTAGTAAAGTGCAAATGTCATGTTCTTTACTTGAGTATTTCCCTTTCCTGGTACTTTTAAATGTGTTAAATATTGTACTTTTTACTCCTCCACATTTATTTCATCCCTACCCAACAGCTGCAACATGTGTTCAGTGTGTGATAAACACTTTACAGCATCAATATAATGATTTAGTAATTTTATATATATATTCATCTGAATGATGAGTCATTTTATCATTGTTACTTAAACCTTTTTGAGGCTTTCTTTGGGAAACCAGTGCCTTTATTTGAGCCAACATCTGCCCACTTTAACTATTCTTTTATGCTAATACTTTTGTACTATTACCTCAGTTCAGTTTTGAATGCAGGACTTTTACTTGTATCATAATATTCGTCCGGCAGTGGCTCAGTCAGTAGGGGCTTGGACTGTGAGCTGTAGGGTCGCCGGTTCAAGTCCCCGACCAGATCTAAATATGGAGTGTGGACTTCTACTTGGAGAGGTCCCAGTTCACCTGCCGTGGTGCCCTTGAGCAAGGCACCGGACATCCCCCTTCCCCCCTCACTCCCATTGCTCCCCGGGCGCTATACACTAGCTGCCCACTGCTCCTAGTACTAGACTCCTGGTACTAGGATGGGTTAAAAGCAGAGAACACATTTCACTGTGTGTGCTGTGCTCTGCATGTGTGAGCATTAAAGAGGGTTTCATCCCTCCCCAATTCTATAATATGCGTACACTAAGTACAAATACTAATTTGTACGTTTACTTATGTAAGAGATCTGATCACTTGGTCCAGCTCTACATAATAAGGAAGACAAGAGTTAAAAAGACAATCAAATAAAAACTTAAGAAAGAGAAAAATAACACTTGAGGGCCCTCTCCTCCCTCTCGCTATTTCATTTCCTGCCTCCCTTGCCATCTACCACTCGTCCTCTGCGTCTGAACATTTCCTCAGCGATAGCAAACCTTAGCGGCCCTTCCTTCCTTCAAAATCTGGTCTCTAATCCCTCCGGCTCTCTCCTCTCTTCTAGCTCTCGCAAACTCTCTGGTTCACTCTCACCAGATGGCTTGCGAGCGCTACACCCAGAGGAGTGAATCTATCCGTCACAGCTCTTTCTTCCCCCTGCTCTCTCTCTCACAGCCCACTCTGCAACATCGAAACTGACGGGGGCCAAATTAATTTGGACAACAGTGTCTGAACAAGTCCTCATTCTGGCTAAGGCCTCTCTAATGCAGCACTGAACTGCCCTGTCGAGTCCCTAACACACTCTTTGAGTGTTCCAGACAATTTAGCCCTCAAGTGAGGGATGGATGTAGATTTGCAGAGGGAGAGAAAGGGAAGGAGAGGTGAAGGGAGGGAGTAATGTGCTGTCGTGGAAAATTGAGGGGGCGTATAGGTATATGTGGCAGAGGGGGAGAGGGAAAAAGAGGGAGATGGACAGAAAGAAAGATGGCACGTAGGGAGAGAGCGGGAGAGACAGGCTGACAGCTGTCCCCTCGGGGAGTTGGCTCTTTTCTTTGGGCCGTTTTCTGATTCTTTTCTTTGTCGCCTAACCCGCAACCCCCTTCTTTATTTTCCTGAATCACGTCCTATATGCTTTCTGGGGGTGTTAGCTCCATGCATCTGCCTACCTGCCTCCCCCTCCCTCTCTCTTTCTCTCCTTCTGACACTCTTTGCACTGTTCTTAGTTCCCTTGAGACATGTGGCCCTTTCTCTCCCTCCTCCCTCTTGGAGTCTGTCTTCCTTCCCCTCTCACACTCTCACCCACCTTCGAGCCTCGTTGCCTGGAGGTTTTGCCCATCAGCTTCTCATCGTCCAGTTCGCACTGCTCCAGCAGATCCAATATGTCCTCCTCCTAAACACCAACGCAAGACACACAAGGTCGATTAGAATAGGTCAAAGGTGATGATTTATGTCACATGAGGAACATACATCGTCAAGCATCAGCAAGAACTAACCCGTCAGTTCAATCTTTGTGTAACACTATTAAGGAATAATTAACATTCTTTGATGGTTCATATCGCTAATTACTTTGAAGTCAAAGCGAGGGAGGGAAAAAAAGAAACTTCAATTATTATCTAAAAAAAGGGGGATGAAAAAGTTAGACTTCACAGGCATATATGCACCTTATCTGGGGGTTATAAAAAAGGCCCTGGCGGAACATGCCTTGCTATTTGGCAGCGCTCATAGAGGCTGAATTTGGAAAAGGCAGCGTCATGGCCATTGCCAATATACTGGGGCCGTGGCCATTTGGCCGGAGCTGAAATGCAAGCAAAGATGATTAATGTTGCTTCACGGCCGGGACATAAAAGGCTCCCACTTGACGCTCAAATACAGATGAAAAGTGATTGTTTTCTCTCTGCTTAGCCATAAAGCTGCATTCTGGGGTCCGTGAATAGGTCACTGTGCCCGAGACTCTCTGTGTCGGTGTGTACTGTAAGTGCTGAATATTTGTACAGCGGCATTATTACAAGTCTGGAAGTCTTGAAGTACACATCATTGGGCGCGGGCATTTATTTTCTTTCTTTTTTTATGAGCTTTTGCCTTTTTGTAAATGTGTGACTTTTTAGTTGTTGTATACCTGTTTGTGTGTATGAGAGTATGAGAGAAATATAAAACATTATAAAGAACCATTCATTGTAAGGATAGGATGCACTAAATCTTTTTTTAAAGTAGTCTTGAGGAGCTAACAACCAACATTTGATATGTTAATGTTTATTTAACTTGATAATTAAAAACAGCACTTTGCCTTGCTTTGAAGAATTTAGAGTCATTTTTATTTAAGTAAAAGTCTGCTGATTTAATAACCTTTGTACGACGTGAAAGCTTCCCCGCCCACTGTGGTTTAAAACCACCGGAGGCCCATTACCTTGTACAATTGCACCAAAGCAGCTTACATGGATGTTTTGACATGTTCTACACTATGGAAGAAACAGAACTTGACACGTATAAAGAAATGACAGTTTAACTGAAAGCTACTCTCTCTCTTGCTAAAGTTAAAGTGTTTCCAACAGAGTGAGTCTACATCAAATGATGCTCCTCTATAGATCGGCTCTTGCGATCTCTGGCTCCATCACTTTTAATGATCACTTTCAAATTAAACATTTTATACCCAGGATGTCTGCATTCATAATATGTAGCTGCCTGTTAAACTTCTTTGCCAACAGTCTTTGTACATGTCAGCTCATACTGTAAACTACACTGTCCAAACAAAGTACTTTTTTGGCACTGGAGGACCAAGTGTGTAGTCCTGTCCAGAAAGATTTGTATCTTTTTTTTTGTTGAAAAGGCAGTAATTTATTTCTCATCCTGACATTCTCCGACTTCATATGTCTTGGCTGTTTGACAGATGACGCTGTCTCCTCCATTTCTGTGGTTAGGAATGCACTTCCTCCATTGTAAAAAAAACGAATAATGTACACATACCCCTGAGCCAGAAGAAATGGGCTTATTCCTTTAGACAAATAAAGAAAAGCCCTAAGGACCCCTCTCATTTCTTCTTCAAAGCAAGAGAGATAGACTTGATGGAGAGAGGATAGACTGTGACACCTCTACTCCCACTGTTAAGCAGAAAATAATATGTTCCAATTTTTCCACAAGATTCTTGCATAACAAACAGCAACTGTAAAAACGCACTTCCTACACTCATTGCATGTACGTAGGTGGCTTGTGTCACAAGAGCAGGAGATATTACTTTAGTGGCATGTACGTTGTGCTGTATTATGTTGTGTCTGTGAGTGGCTGGTTGTACTGGAACTCCAGGTTCAAATGCAGTGCGCAGGATAAAACCGACCCATTCAGTTTCAGGCCATGTGCATCAGTAATCATGTGTTTTTAATTCTGCATGCTGTGCAACATGATTAGCAGCTAATGTGCAGCTCATGGTTCCCACCCATTTTTCTCTTAAGCATCAAATGATTGAAGTTCATTTTGAGCTGTCCAAAACTACTTCTAGATTTGTGATAACATAAAATCCATTTGAAAATAAATGTAAAACTATTAACTTTTCTTTAAACCAGACTACCAACAGCCCTTTAAAGACTGTTTGTATCCCTCTGCTTAATGTGCATTTCCAGAGCTTGAAGACGACTTTGATAGGATCTGCACTGACTTTGAACTGCTCCCACACAACTTTAGCAGTTTGTGTACTGCTGCTATTGTATCATATTGGCATAGCCACAGGCCAGCTGAGCATGCACCTGCATTTTTATTTGTATTTCCATTATCTATGAGAGCAAAATAGAGGAATGGGAATACATCAACTGAGCCAGGCGGGACACATAGAAAGCTAAGAACAGAACTAACAATTTGATGCATACCTCTCAACCAAACTGTAATGGAAGAGGGGAGAAGGGTGATGCAAACCCTGTAGATGCAAGTGTAACAGTCATGAAGCCTGGGATAACAAAACATGCTTTATTTTCTTTGATAGTGTGACAATCCATGACAATTTTCAATTCATGGCCCTGAGACGCCAACAAAGGCAGCAAACACGAGTCTAGCGGGTACAATGTCAGTCAGACTTGACAGATATGGAAGGCTGGCAAATGACCTCTGGCCCCTTGCAACAGGAAGAACCAGCCAAACAAGCAATGCACGTCACAAGATGACTTGTGGATCCCACCAGGGTTATAGTCCAAAGCACTTTGACTGACCAGTGCACAAAATTAGAAGTTTGGTTTATTATGAGATAATTAACTGTTGTGTTTACAGATAGAGACCTAAAGATGGGTACGTTTAGCTACAAAGTTAAAAGTAAACTTCCGACGTTTTTTTCTAGATGTAAAAAAAAACAAATTGAAATTGGTATTTGGCAGAAGCTTAAATCTACCAAGAGGTGAATTGTGGCCGGAAGAAAAAAGTGGGAGTTGGAGTGAAGAGTGCCAGGAAGAGTTTGTTGTGTTGGAGTACAGAAAGTGTAACCTAATGTTATCGAAAACCTTTTCAATGTCGAGGCTTGGCTGATTTTAACAATATCAGGCCTTGAATTGGGAACTTGAAGATCTTTTAGAAGTACTCTATTTGCAACAAAAGCATTCAAACTTGTGCAGGTCATAAATAAAGTAGTTTTTGAGTCTCCACAGTCAGTGTGAGCAATGAGAATGGAGTATGAATATTAGTTTTGTCTAGAGCTCAAATAGGAACATGTGGGAGGAAAATGATAACAATAACGAAGCTGAAGGGCACAAACAAACCCACCTAAAGTCTGTCAAGAAACTCAAATCATATTATATTCTTCCCTGGTCTGCTGAATATCATATTTGAATTCATTAACATAATTTATTTTAAAAGATTGACGAGATTGGTTTCTCACACTGTCACTGACAATCCAGTATATACTCATGAACATGAGTTAGCAAACATTAGATCGATTTTCCTTTGTTCTAATCATCTTTCTTGCTTTCTACATTGACTGAGAGCCACATTTTTGTGTTGAACATACCTCGGCCAGTTGTATGCCTGATCTTTGATTGACATCTCCACCAAAAAGTATCTATGTATCAAAGATTCCCCTGTTGAAAGGACGCCCATTAACTTTCTGAAACCAGCTTGCAAGTGGGTGGAAGCTGTTGAAGTAGGTTTGTTTCTACAAAAGCTGCAGTAGTTGTATATGACATCCCCTCCCAGTGAAATGAATTTTTAATGTCAACACCACTGTCAGAAATATCCATTATAAGCATTCATTTTTAATATTTGGTTGCCAAAAGCAGTATGTTTCTTTGTGTGATCTGCATATCTGCATATCATATCATCTGCAATGCCTTTCCCTCCATGTGTTGTAATATCCCCCAATCCTTTCTCCGTGTCTTTTTGATTAATTGATTTTCTATTTCTGAATACATAACCAGACTTCAAAACAGAACAGTGCCTCTTTCTTGTGTATATTTTCTTTGGAACTTGACTCAACTCATCAAGTGCGTCCTTAATAATAGTCTTATCATAATTCTCTCTATTTATCAGCTTCTCACCATCTTTATACTTTATGACTATTATTGTCAACCTTCTTCCGTCATCATTTAAACCCTCCACATTTCTCTCTATTCGGCCTCTCTCTACCAAAGTTGTTTGGTCTAGAAATGAACTTCTCTTCATTGCAAAGTCTCTCCATACCTTGAGGTTCAGCTGAAGCTAGATCCCTCCTGGTACCAGACCGGCATTGGTATTTATATGCATGCAATGACTTCTACCCCCACATACAAACATGCATGTGTCTCAGTATATTGCAAAACAAGTGTGTGTACTACAACTATATGTTCCAATGTGTATCCCTGAATCTAAATAAATAATCTCCCTGAAAGAAAGTAAACCAAAATACGTGGGCAGCAACTGTAATCAACTTTGAAGCCTCTCCATAACAGGAATATATAGGAAGAGGACAAGAGAAACTGAAAAGAGTGTCTAAATGTAAATAAAGAAAAAATGACACTGTTGTGTTGGTTTGATTTGCTTCTAAAAGCTCATGTGCACAGCACAATACATATTTTCGAAGTGAATGACAGTAGAAAAGCTCTGCAGAGATAGAAGAAGAAGAAGGACATTCTGTCAGACGTTCCTACAAATCTGAAGGACAGCAGCACACTTTCCACATTATTTGCGCATCCTTTCTTGCCTCTGTGGACAGAATCTTAATAGAAATGCATGTGTATTTTTATTATTTTCTTTCATGTGCTTGTCCACAAGTGTCTGCATATTGTGCGTGTTTTTGTGTGAGGCTCTGCAGGTGTGTGTGTGTGTGTGTGTGTGTGGTGTGTGTGTGTGTGTGTGTGTGTGTGTGTGTGTGTGTGTGTGTGTGTGTGTGTGTGGTGTGTGTGTGTGTGTGTGTGTGTGTGTGTGTGTGTGTGTGTGTGTGTGTGTGTGTGTGTGTGTGTGTGTGTGTGTGTGTGTGGTGTGTGTGTGTGTGTATGAATGCCACTGACGTACGTGCCTTCATTCGTTTCAGAGGATTATTCATTTCCTTTTGAAGTGAGGCAGCTCGCCCGGCGAGGAAGGTCTGAAAGGCGGCCGAGAGCAGGCTTTCATACTTCTCCAACAGCAGCTTGTCGTCTGGGGGGTAAATACGTCTGTATGCCGCAGAGACACAGGGAGAAAAGCAAGGAGAGTGAGGGAGGAGTGGAGAAAGAAAAGGCAAAAAAGGAGGGTCATCAGTACTCGGAGAAATGGGATGAGAAGGGTGAGAGAAGACATGATGAAATAGAGAAAACAGAGTATGGGTTCACAGAGGAGAGGGTGGGAGTGATTGGGTGGAGGAAAAGAAAGAGAAGAAGGGGATTGGGGTTCAGCAAAAAAGGGATACGAGGTGAGAGGAGGAGTGGTGACAGAAGTGGGAGGGAGTCGGATAAAAGACAGAAAAAAGGAGAGTAAGAAAGGAGTGAAAAGAAAGAAAGATGAAGAAAAAGAGCACGAAGACAGAGAAAAGCAATACAGAGATTGAGAGGGGGAGAGATTGATGAAAGAAGAGGTGATGGAGTGAGGCACAGAGAGGTCGAGGCACAGCGGGTGAGAGTGGTAGATGGACAAAAAAAGCAGGAGTGGAAATACAGGCAGAGAGAATTATAAGTATTTCAATGAGAGGTGTGGAATGATGGAGAGACAAATGAAGGTGAGGGGCAGAGAAAAGACAGACAGAAGGAAAGAAGTATTAATGGAGACCTTGAGTCAAGAAACTGTACAAACTTCAATCCATTATTTTCACATGGTGTAATACATCAATGCAACTGCTTCACACACACACACACACACACACACACACACACACACACCCGCACTGAAAAGTGCACTTCAAAGTGTGTCACAGTCTTTGCTGATGTGCCCATTCACACCTTATGTATACTTCTGCTTGGTTTTAACAGTGCTCAGTGTTTATCTTAGGCCTGGGAGGATTAGGAAAAAGTATAAAGCTCTGCCTGGTTATCCTCATAATACATCTCCAAATGCTCCCATGTCATTGCTTTAGCCATCAAATCAAAACAATGACACTGTTTTATTAAGCACAGAGAGGAGTGTAAAAGCAGAGAGACATTTACAGACAGATACGCATTTGAATGAACATAGTGTTAACTTAAGGGGAGTAAAGTACAGACATAATTTGACTGTCAAACACACAGATATAAAGTTGGCTTCACTGTTTATGCGGCTGTATGACATTTTCTAAGGCATTACTGTTAGGCTTTTCACACATCAGCATCTCAGCTGTAGATTGTAGTAAGGGTATAATGCCAAGTAAAGTTTAACATTGCCCAATTTCATCATTAAACATTTTACTGCACCCCATCTGCCGTTTGAACACTTAATGCAGACATGATTTCTATATAGTTTAAACTTTGACCCAATTCTATGCATTACTTTAGTTACTGCAGTTCCAATCAGGAAACTACTGAATGTTAAGAAACCTCACTTTATTACCTTCCCTTGGCACTATCCTATAGGATACCACCTTTAAGGTACATGGACCAGATTATTTTCTTCCTCCTAAGAGACTCTGAGAGCAGTGAAAAAAATCTACAGTAGTGCTGCTCAATTAATCGTATTTTAATCGCAATTACGATTTTGTCTTGCAACGATTATGAAAACAACATAATCTAAATAAAACGATTATATATATATTTTTTATTATTATTATTTATTTAAAATATATATATATATATTATTTTTGTATTGGTTTTTCAGTTGAATTATACTTAAAGTTCAGGGTAATCAACTGTTAAAAACATACTACACCTTTTTTTTTCAATAAATTGATGTTTTCAAAGTAAATGGATAATCGTTTTTAATAATCGTGATATCGATTATTGACCCAAATAATCGAGATTATGATTTTTGCCATAATCGAGCAGCCCTACACAACAGTGGGATATACTGAATTTAAATGACAATATATGAAAAGAGCCAGAAATGGTCGACTCTCAAAAAGCAACATAAATCAGTGAAAAGTAAAAGGTCTTTTATCGTTTTTACACTTTTATAGTGGGTGTTAACTGCTCCCTCTTTTTGGCACTCTCCCTCTCTGAACATATGGACGTTTTATTTGAGGTTGACCCTGCAATATTGTTTTTTAAATAAAACGTTTGTGCTGAGGCTTATTTTCCTCCCACATGTTCCCAATTGGGCGATAGAGAAAACTAATATTCATATTCCACTTACATTAGCTTAAAACTATCTCTGTTAAGGTCAAAAGGCTCCTGATTCCAACTGTGTAAGTGATGTTAAATGCACATCAACAATGGCAGTTACCAGCTGGGTTTCCCTCCGGTTCATCAGGGTCTTGGCTTGTCTGTAACTGAGGCAAGTTTCATCTAATCGCCGAATGTAAGTAAGTTCATTACCCAAACTCATCTAATGAGTAGCAGTGTATTAATCAGACTCCAGTGCTGCGCCGGGACACCATTTGAATGCTAAGAGGGCTTTATTAGGGGCGCTCCAGACAGACCTCAGCCTCTCTGATTGACTGTCTGGCTGCGTGTCTGAAAAGAGGAAGGAGGTGACAGCACTTCATGCAGCCTGCCATCTGCATTCTGACTAGCCATTCAGTCAAGTGATGAGTCAAGAAGTCACTTACACTTCAGGTTACAGCAAAAAAAGGCCCAGTGTGTGTCTGTGTGAGCCAATTGTCTGTGTGTGTGTGTGTGTGTGTGGTGTGTGTGTGTGTGTGTGTGTGTGTGTGTGTGTGTGTGTGTGTGTGTGGGTGTGTGTGTGTGTGTGTGTGTGTGTGTGTGTGTGTGTGTGTGTGTGTGTGTGTGTGTGTGTGTGTGTGTGTGTGTGTGTGTGTGTGTGTGTGTGTGTGTGTATATATACAACTTAGAGAGAGAAAGAGAAAGCAAGACCTATAAATGTGCGTGCACATGTTGGATAAAGAGATGGAGGCAGGAAGAAAAAACTGAGGGAGTGAAGGAGCGTTAGCAATTTGCAGAGGATAAGCGACAAATCAAAGTCGGTGTTGCTGAGTCATGCTCTAAGATGGATCTGCTCCATCTGAGAGGTGAATGTAAAAACTTGTCACACACGATGTCTTCCAAAATCCCAGCTGGAGTCAGAGGATAAAACAGTAGAGGTGTGTGGGGGATAGAAGAGATGAGGAAAGGCTTGCAGCAGGCAGGCATATTTACATATACATATAAAGTATACATGGTCATTTGAATTTCCGAATTGCACTGCGTTTAAGGGAGTATCCATTTATACCTCCACATAACACACTCTGTTTTCCTTTCTCCCTTTCTATTTAACATATTCTCTCAGTCTTAATTCTTCCACCTTGTGCTCTTTTAAAGCAGTGGGTGTTCTCTTTTGTTTGTTCTCTCTGCAGCTCCATTATGTATTCTCCTGGGAGCGTGGCACTCTGCAGATGACCCCCTAAATGCAAGTGGAGATGGTACCAGAATACTGGGTGGGGTTCCTGAAGGGAGGGCCCCCTCTGCCCGGCAGTTTGCCTCTTCCTTACCTGTAGTTGCCCAGATGTTGCTTTTCATGCTCTTCCCTGGAGATCTGCTTGCGGACCTGTGCCAGTCTCTCTTTCTAAAAGAAATAGGAGAAACAAAATATATTTCTCAGGTTAAAGTCACTGCCTTCTGACCTCATCCTGTAATAGGAATACAGCAAGAATGATGGAAAAGGCAGAAAGGGAGAAAACAACTCACCAACAATGCATCATAATTAAGAGGCATTTTTCCATATAGTCTGTAATTGTAATGTTTAGAAGATATAATGGTGGAGCTCAGTCAGCCAATTGAGTATAAAACAAAGAGGTTTTCACTCCGATTACAGGTTCTGAGCAATATGTGAGTTAAATACACCTGAACCTGGTCTTGCACGTCAGCCATAACAGCACTCAAACACGAGGTGGTCCCCCTTTCAAAGTAGTGCCTGTACACCCTCTTTTCTTATGCCACTGATTACTATCCTGGCTTATCAAAAGGCTAATCAAAGAGCGCACAAAGCGTATGTACCAGTAACTGCCACTTTTCCCCCTATATATGTGAGAACAGCTCCCTGACTCCATTTCAAAGAGAACATAATTAAATGGTATGCTTATCTAAGAAAACTTTGACTCTTTTGATCAAATCAAGTTTTATTTATATAGCACATTTAAAAGCGATTTTTGGTCGAGCCAAAGTGCTGTACATGTAATAAAAACACTTCACTACAATCACAATAAAAGACAATAATTTACAACAGAAATATAAAAAACAAAAACACAGGGAATAATCAGGTGTCATGCTTCGCTCTGACTAGAAGGCCAGGGAGAAGACTCTTTTGATTGTAGAGTAAGAAGTAAGAAACTGAATTTCTGCTCCAGCTTTTCTTCTTGTTTAAATCCTGTGCAGAAACAAACCTATAGATTGTTGGGTTGTTTACTGAAGTAACACATCGTATGAAATAAGAATTTCTAATTTGTTCTTTTTTACCAACTGGTTGATGTGCTAACTAAATGTATCTGTTGATATCTATGAGCATTTATCTGATGATTGCCTGTACCTGAATGTTTTTGTTTGTAGTTAGCTACATTTTAATGTATATAGGGTCATGTTTCTTTGCCACACCCTTAAGAGCCTTTAATGGAGTAGGGTTGTCTCCCACATGACTTGAAAATTAGAAAAACCTCAATTAAGTGTTAGTGCATAACATAAAGCCTTATCTAGCTAAAGGGGGAAAAGAACATCTCTAAATGATGATGTTACAATCTGCGTTGTGATATCCAAAGTCAACGCCTTTATTTATGTGACTTCTTCAGCACATTTCTTACTTTTATCTAATGATTAAACAGCCACTCGAAAGCTCATTAGAAGGCTCTCTGAGGCTCACCAGAGAACCAGATGCTGTAGTTATAATAATATGATATAAATAATGTGTCTGTGCCTCACCAGCTCCTCTCTCCTGCGCTCCAGTGTGTGCCGTTGTTTCTCCCAGTCTGAGGAAGCAGCTGAGAGTTTCTTCACGGAGCCGTGTCCATAGAGCCGGCGCTGAGCCTCTGCTTTCTGCTGGGCCAGGTTGCGTTTCTTATCACTGGCTCTGGAACAACATATAACAAGTTAAGATTCACAAGAGTGCAGATTTGAGTACGAAAAAAAGAGCACATTATCTGAGAATACCATTTTTTTCAATAATAGCTCTGACAACTGTGTTTTCCAAAAACACATCTTCGATTATTTTTCTTGACAGTTTTAACTGCGGCTGCTGAGAAATAAATGCACTTGACTTGAAATCCCATTGACTTAAAACCGTTTAGATGCTCTTTATCTTTCTCATTTCTGTGTCATAACCGAACACAGCAATAGTTATTTCGAGAAACACAAGACTTATTTTATCGCTACATAGCTCTCGGTTGAAAACAGATGTTATCTGCAGAAAAAGGTTTTCATGAATGCTGTAAACAATGACAAAGTTGGAAAGCATTCAGGTCTCATCCCTAACTGAAGAACTGTGTGGTCAAAAAGAAAGAAAGAAAATCCCTCACAAAACATTTAACAATACAGAGATAAAGAGAGAGCCCAGACACAAACAAAGTGACAACCACAAGATGAACAGGACCAGACAGCTATTCTGAACAATAGGCCATTGCGGTCTGGAGAAAGGGCAATTCATTTTAGTCAATCGCTGGCCCTTTAAATTGGATATTGAGTGCTGTTGGGGGGCTGAGGTTTATCAATGTCCATGCCCGGCCGGGTCTGAATTGATCCCACGTTGATACAGTTGGGGTTGTGAGCCGACCCTACCTCTACACACCACCAACCCCTCCTTTGGGGAGCAAAGCCATTACTATATAAGGAAAAGTGAGCGAGGTAGAACAAAACCCTCATTCACTCCAGCATGAACATAAGCAGTTTGTCCTGTGAAAAAGCTCCCCCGCCGCCTTTCAAGGCCTCCTACGATTTATTTGCCAGGAAATAATCAAATCTAGGCTTTTAATCTGTGGGAACACAGCAAACATCAGCCATGAAACAAATCATTTTGATAAGAGATTTGTGTGTGTCGACTGAGGCTGAGCAGGAGGACGGAGTGAGTTTGTGTGTTGGATGGCTGCACCACGCTCCACACTTGGCCAAACTAGATCGCTGCTGCGTGTAATTGATCCATTGATGTGCGCGTTTGTGTGTGCTCTACATTTGTGTGCTGCCTTTGTGCATGTGTGTGACAGGAGTTGAGACTATATTTGGAGCAGTAAGCACAAAGAGAGAGAGACAAAAAGAGAGCAGAGAGGTCCAGAGGTCTGGTGTACGATGATCAATCAGTGGACAGGCTCGCTGTAGCCAGGGGACAGAAAAGCATGCCAGCAAACACACACACGCGAACACAAACACAACGTACACAAATAAATACATGACACACCAAATATGACAATGTGCATAACCTAAACAGGCAAATAAATACAAAGCAAAGTGAAAAAAGCAAAACAGTAAGCTTATGTTAACAAATAAAGTAAACTTGAAATACAGATAACATAACTCACTGTTATCCTGTTCCTATCACACACACACACACACACGTCTGGATTGAAGGGTGCACAGTAGAAGCTTAGTTTGTATCTTGGCATTGTTTTTGTCTCAAAGCTGCTCAAAGCTGTTAGTCTCTGAATAATGTCACTGCTTTGCCATCAGTCTAAAAACAAAGCAGGAAGAAAGTCGAATTGTTCTGCGCATTAAACGTAATTCAAAAGTTTTCAGCGTTGGTAAATAAAGAAAACTGGGACGAATCGCTTTTGCTTCTTTCTGCACATTAAACTTAACGGGCCACACAATTCATGTGTGTCTATCTGCAATCATGTGCATGCGTGTGTGTGACAGTGGTGGAGAATATTACCGAATGTTGAGGAGTTTCAGAGCATCGAGCAGTACCCCTTTCTTCACATCGTGATCAATCTTCTGATCGGTCCCAAAGCTCGGAGCTCGATTGATCTGCCAGAGAGGAGAGAACAGAAACATTCAGGGTTTTTTATTTTTTAACTTCATCTCATTTTTGTTCTTTCTTCTCAATTCAGCAGACAGAAATACTAGGCAATTACAGGAGTGGGTTTAGGGTATCTTTGGAAAAAAGAGCACTGTTCCCACAAGAAGGAGAGGAAAGAGTAGAGAGATGGAAAGGAAGTTTTTTTCTCTTTGAAGGACACTAAGGAAACTCTTAGGCCTTTGGCTGGGAATAAATCCTGTCTGACGTTGAGGTGTGTTGTCGGGCCTGAAGAAGAGCTCTTGTGTGTATGAGTGCTCGCATATGAACAGATTGTGTAGGGTAAACTGTCACTAGATTTGTGACCCTGCTAGCCTTAGCAAGCAGCCCATGACTGTAACTTGAGTATGCCTGGCACTGCGACACCTATCCTTACAACTGCCACAAATAATCTCTTTGTGAGCATTAGTGAATTACCAGCGCTCAACTCAATCCCATCATAAACAAATCAAGAGCTCAGAGAGTCAACTGAGCGAGAACAGAATAAGCCACCTGTGATTTTAGGTACAAAAGCCAGTATCACCAAGGGAACAATTCAAGAGCAGCTTTACCTTTCTTAACAGAACAATTTCCAGCACCGGTGCAAGATATTCAGATATCAGTTATTATACCTGACACACAAACCAATTCTTTCCTTTTTACTCTTTGTTATTTTCTCAGGTAAAAAAGAGATTGTGCGAGACTACAAAAGGACCAGCAAATGGAGAGCGGTGCGGAAGGAGGGTGAACGGACTGGCAACCGTGAATGGTGTCTTGCTCAGAGCTGTCCAGATGACAATGCAACAGATGCACACTGAAAGGCTGGCTGTGGTTAGTAAGCCTTGATTTTTGAGATAAGTCAGGTTTCCTCTTAAAGATTTGTTGATGTGGGAACACCAGTATTGTTGGCACCTTTTAGATTTGCAATATTTTCATAAATGTAGGTATTTAAAAATTTGATTTAGAATATATGTGTTATAATTGTTAACAAATAATTATTTGAAATGTATAGTTGATATATAGAGGTTATTATCAAGTGGAAATTAGCATTTGTTAACTGACAAAGACATGCTGTGTCTCACTCTGCAGTGTATAGAGTTCACTACTGCTGTATTTTGACCTAAAATGTCTGCATCCGTTGATGAAAATCAATCATTTTCAATCAAATGAAAATCACTGCTAATAGTGCTCCAGCTGCAGCTGGATAGTCAGTAAGATTTGGGTCGGAGACATTCTTTTCTTCCTATCTTGCTTTAGAAAAGGGCAGTTGGATACAGATATACTCATCGAAGCAGCACGGCAGCCAATCACAAATCTTGATTTCAATAACAGAGAAATACTGAGACAATCTGAGCTTTTAGAGCATATATGTTTTCTATCCACCAATCACTTAGGTGAAGAATAGGCTAATGGACGTGGTGTTAAAAATCAAGCTATTTGCAACCATAAAGGTATTTGGGCTGAAAATAAGCAACAAAGCTCCTTTACAGAGATGTGCAAAGCATCTCAAAGGTTGGGGGGGCTTGGCTCTCAGAATCTCCATCCCTCTTTCTCTTCCTCTCCTCTGAACTAGCCATTACTAATTCCAACCCAAAGGTGCTTATTGCTGTGAGGCAGATTTTGGAACTGTGCTCTAAGATAATATTTACATCACAACCAGGCTCCAAGGAACTGCTGCTCTCTACATCAAGGGCTAAATTGTCCTTCAGTCAGAAACCTAAACTCCCACAATATGAATATGATTGTGCAAGGATGCTTTTATGTTGAATTGCATGTAGATAAGCATAGGTGAATAAAAGTAATCAAAGATATTCAAACATATACCGCACTGTAGCTGTCTATATTAACCTTAAGATACTGTATAACTTTCTCTGAAGTGGTTGCTCCACTCTTCAACTAGTGAATAGATCCAAAAATGCCACAAGTAAGCTATGGAGTCTGCACGAGCATGACATGGGTCTGAATGGCCCTGCCTTTGTAAATGTGCATTCACCCACATGTGAGTTTTTCTATACGACAACCATTTATCAGAAGGAGGGTGGGTGGATGATGAATGTCTGCCAGTGCAAAGAGGAAAGAAATACCCTATCCAACTCTTTCACTCAATAGAAAGAAGTCTACAATACATTCCTCTGTGTGCGGAGAAGGACAGAGCTCCACTTCAACCTACAGTACCTTACCTAAGGAAAAGGAAAAAACACCACAAAAGGAAAAGAGTGAAGAGGTCTGTTTCATTTAGAGCACTCCTTCGATATGACAGCCACAATGAAAAGAGTATGGCTTTAGAGCGCTGTAGCCTATAGGTAAAAGCCAGACTGGCAGTGATCCTGGCGACGGTTGTCTCGTTACTTGTTTTCATTTCTTAGTTTGATTTGTGGTGTCAAGCTGTCACAGAGAAGACTGGCATCGCAGGACTCGCTGTCTCTCTTTGCTCTCCTTCAATCTTTCCTCTCTCTCCTACTCTCTGCCTGTCACCCTCTCCCTCTGGTTAGTTTCTTTTCCCACTCTGTTTCTTCCAGTCTCTCAACCTATTTTCTGTCTGGTCACTCACCCCCACCCCTCCTCTGCTAGCCAGCCCTCACTCTCTGGTCGTTACCTTTCTTATTCATTTATTTCTCCATGTTGCTGTGTTCTCCTTTTCCTCTCTGGCAGAGGAAGTTGGACCAGTCTGGTCCTAATGAACCCCTGCAGGCTCCCCAAACCCCCCCCCTCTGATTTCCTTAAGTGACTCTGGCAGGGTCTTAAAGGAGCCCTCGGTTGCTTCAAGCCGCATTCAATAAAAATGTCAGATGAAAAGATTAGAAACTCCTTTTTAGCTATGTTTTGATTTGATTCTGCATCAGAATCACATCTTCCAAAAATCACTTGATTTAACAATAGAATCAGCATGACTGAGAGGAACATATCAGTCAGTAATTTCTCCCAAGACAGGTTTATACTCATCTGATCACCCAGTTAAACATACACAGTTCAGAGGGTGAGCTGTAAATCATACACATACCCTATAAAGAACATGTAACTTTTTATTTTCTGCACCTGGAGCTGTGTGTCTGAGGCACATAAGAAAACCCCTTATAAAGCTAAATCAAGCTTCTGGTCCATTTATTGTAAAACTGTCTGTGAAATGCAACCCTGTCTACTGATCTTTATTGCAGGTTCTTAAGGAAAAAACATAAGCGAAGGTGCAACCAGCTTATTCTGCATGCTTTTTTTAGTTGATATAGTTTATCATAGCCATAGTAGTTCATATGTTTAAAACAAAAAGCATTTTATGTTGGCCCGTCCTTCCCGACTCAACAAACAAGAGAGTGTTGGCCGTAATAAAGCAGTTAATCAGAGAAATTAAATGTTCATTCCTGATTGTTTTACAACCGTTATGTTCTAAAGCAAAAACAATAAAGGGTACCGTGCTTCTGTATTAGATGCCAGGAGGCAGGACAAAGTGGCAGGATTTAACAACCTGGGAATGAGAACGGGTCTGTACACCCTGCCTCGGGAACGCTTTTCACCCCCCTGTGTTGGATGCAGGGTCCGCCTCGTATGTTTGTCCCTCGTAGTGGGGGTGTATTGCTCAAGGAGCGTTAATAAGCGGCAGAAATCAAGCGGCTAACAATACCACTTTTATTAACCTAGCCAAATGGCCATTCTTTACTACCAAGAGATAATTAATTTTAGTTCATACTATGGTATGGGGAATAACTCAGATCCCAATACATCTAACAATTCATTGTTAACACTTAATTATGAATACACCCAGTAAAAAGTTATTTGCAATGATGACACACGTTTTACTCCAAATGTAGTGGGCATCCAACAGTTTGCGCCTGTGGGCCTCTGCTGTGTCACAGCGACCCTAATAACATAGCAACAGTAATGGATAAACAACAAATCAGCTGCTTCTTTCCACAACAAATTGCTTCTCCCGATCGACATCCATTCTGTGTCTGGAATACTCGTAAACAAGAGCAGTGGCTGCTCGTGATTAATCGGTTCAGAAAAACGACCCCCTCTTATTATTCCTGGCAGAGTGTAAACAACCACTGCTTTGACAAGCCTCCCATTCTGCCCCGCACACTCGAGGGTATCGGCACAGTTCAACCGCTGTCAGAATGGAGTGTTTGTTGCCGCACCATGGTGGAATGAGAAAGCGAGGCGGAGAGGGAGAGCATGAGAAGCAGAGCGACAGAAAGACAGACAGCTGGCCGCATGTTAAGTCGCTCTCTTGTTTCAGCCGTCTTATCAATCACTGTTTGTTCTTTTTTTTTTTGCGTTTTAGTGATCCGTCAACACAGGGAAACTCTAGCTGAGCATGCTGAGCCGCTGGTAAAGGTCCTGGAGTGAGCGGGCCAACGCTTAGCTCAGCCACCAGTCAGCCTGACCTGCTGACTGTCTGGCTGGCAGGGAGCAGGAAGGGTTGCTTTTGTTGTTGCTATTTATTTATTTTCTAAGACACACAGAGATACAATTTGACACAGCCACAAAAAGTAAAAGACGCTCCGAAGGTGGACAAGATGTGTTAAAGTGAACAAGAGATATGCAGCTGGACTCAACAACACACACACGGAATTTCCAACTTAGTGCCCCAAAACGTTAGAGATATATCAACAAAACACACCTTCGGTCTGAGACAGGCATACATATGCAAGAGTAAATATATCTCCCTTTTAATGTCACTCACACACTGAACCACCACACACACACTACAGTTCCATATGTCACTCTAAACAACCAACATATATATTCAATCACACCCACACACACACACACACCACACACACACACACACACACACACACAACACCACACACACACACAACTCAAACACAGTGACACACACACAATCACTGGTGCTGGTGCTGCCAAACATGGCTGATGATAAATGACTAAATGTTGGGGGGTGTTTTTCAACTGCCCCACATACGAGGCCTGTGCGCTCCTATTTGATACTTATTCCATGAAATAGTCATGTTGG